TACTAATATATGAAAGCAGTTATTGCAAAGGAACGAAATATAATTGGGATTAACCTAAATAAAGCTTGTTATCTGAATTTATTTTGGCTCAGGACAACATTTTTAAGCAATCGCGATTATCTGTCTATAGTACTTTGCAATAAAGTAAATAATTTAAATAATTTAATAAACAATAATTAAATTTTCAAATATATCATTATACGATATGGACGATCCATTCACAATTAATACAAGGTTCTAATTTTCTCATTGTTTAAAAAAATGGAAGTAATAAACTTTGGACTTTGGACTGACAGCAATACTTTCAAAAAACGATACACGTGTTACCTCAACATGGCAAACTGGTATGATTGCATTCACGCCAGTCGCAATGGATACGTTATTTTTTTCTACATATGATATGCCAAAAGTGCTGTTAAATAAAAAGAGAAATAGCGCGCGAGAAAATAAAAAGGCAATTATCTCGCGCGAAAATGTCGCTTTTCTCTGGGAATCACAGATCAGCAATATTTTTTGTCTCATCTTTTATGAAATATATATATATATATATATATATATATATATATACACACAATATACCAGATAGCCACAGTAATTATTATGACATTATTTTGATGTCAAAATGCATCATTTTGATGTCATAATAATTACTGTGGCTATCTGGGTATATAAAATATTCTAAATAAGAGTATTATTCACAATTAAATTCTCGAATTCTTTTCCGACGATTTCATAATTGATCATAATTCACCCTCACAATGTAATATTGAATTGATTTTTCTAACGTTTCCAAGAACTATAATTATAAATTGATCACGTACTGCTTGCTAATTGTATATGCGAAGCACGTCGTTAAGAAATTAATTCTTTGAAATGCAATAAAACGCAGAAAAACGCGTGCAATTATCGTTTGAAATAATGACTTGTGATTAATGCATTTTCTCGAATCATAAAAGTAGGTTACTTTTATGATCTGCTGAATATTCGCGAAAGTAGCAATGTATTTAATCATCGTGTCCCATAAAAATGTTAAGCACATGAAAGTTTGAGATAAAAATATATATTGCACGATTGTAAATTAATTACTTCTAAGATTTCTTACCTTATTATAATTAATCGAAGGTGCCTTTTATTTCTTATTTTAATAGGAATTTAATCTAACACTGTTAATTTAATTAGAAATATTTTCAAAGGTAAAATAATGATTGTGCGCGACGATTGAACGAATTTTAGTTAAGTGCGTGGTGTGCAAAGTAATTAAGTTCTATATACACGTAACGCACTGAATGTGATAAGATATTGTATTGTATTGCATGCAATGGACGGGAATTCAATAGTGCTTAATAAATATAGTAAAGTGAGAAAAATGAAAAATCAATGACATATAATATGCTTGCATTACCTTGCTTGCGTAATATCGAATGTCTTCTAACAAGAAAACGGTCGGAACTAACTCTCACCGATTTTAGTAAATTTGGAATATGTTTTAGAGCATTGAAAAATATTAGATCCGTATTTTTTTTTTTTAGTTGCGTATCTCGACATTTAGGGGGTAACCACTTCCTTGAAAAAATTGGTTTTTTTTCATTTCTGAGTTAATACGGTCAAAGATATAAAAAAATCATTTAAATAAAAGTTTTATTATTTAAAATTTTTTATAACAATTCTGAAAGCTTATTTAATACCAAATCCAACCATATGTAACAAAGTTGTTTTCCAACAACGCATTTTTCAGAAATAGGCTAAGAATGCCATTATATGCGCTTCATTCATATCTGCTAGACGCTCCCTACTCGTGATGACCGTCTTTCCTTCGTAATCTCACAGAAAGAATGAATTAACCATAAAAAAATTATATATATTTATATTTTATTTACATTTTCTGAAAATGTGAAATTTTTTAATTTATCCTTATTTTCACTTGTTATTTTTGTAAAATTTGGAAATTTTGTAAGGATAAAAATGGAAAAACATCGAATGTCATCAAATCTGCGTCACCCATCTGCGTTATAAATGCTTTCTGCATATTTGTGTGTGTGTACCAGTGTATTGATTTTATATTTCCATAATGCAAATTTGATAACGTTGTGATATAAAAACATCAAAAGCTATGAAGTATATAAGCGTCCATTATATGAAAAGCTACCATTTTATCTTATGAAGTGATAACGTAAACAATTGTGTATTGTACACCAAAGAGAAGAAAAAGAAATGAAGAAAAGAGGTGTCGAAATTAATATAAAAAGATCATTACAGTAATTATAAAGTACGTATTATTTTTTATATAATCAAAATTCGAAACAAATTTAAATAAAATTATTGAATATTAAATACAAATAAAAAAGGCCTAAGAGCCATACGCGGATGTTCCTTGCGTACATCTTCAACAAAAATTAATTTTTCGATTCCCGATTCAGCGACTTTTGGATCTATATTTTTCTCTCGCGTTTATTTATTTATTTCTTTAGGGGGGTATAGGGGTTTATAAAATTAAATTCAAGTATGAGATATTTCACGTTTAAAGTCTTGGTAGTGAACCAAGAATAATATGTGACTTGTGCACATTTTTGTTTATTTCCAACAAAATATCTCATACTTGAATTTAATTCTTAGTAGTGAACCAAGAATAATATGTGACTTGTGCACATTTTCGTTTATTTTCAACGAAAATTAATTTAATTTTTCGTTGGAAATGAACGAAAATGTGCACAAGTCACATATTATTCTTGGTTCACTACCAAGACTTTAAACATGAAATATCTCATACTTGAATTTAATTTCATAAATTCCTATACCCTCCTAAAGAAAATTAATTTTTCGTTGGAGATGTACGCAAAGAACATCTGCGTATGGCTCTTAAGCCTTTCTTATTTGTATTTAATATTTAATATTACAGAGCCTTGATATACTTCTTTAAAATTATTGAAATTATTTAATTTTAATATTTTTCAGAATGATACATTTTAATCCATAAACGTAATAATGTTACTCTATGTAACTTTCACTGTTTTCAATCTTCCACAAATTTATTTTTCCTTTTAAAAATAAATATTATATTCAATTGATACAAAGTTTCGCTCGTATATTGTAAATACAAACAGTGATAAATAAAAAGGCCAACTTATCGAGCAATTATTAGAGTTGTTCAGTCAAATAAAATTTATTCCATGTATAAACTATTAAACATAAAACATTATGTAAAAGCTACAAACATTCAATACTAAAACTTAAGCAAAAATTACAATCATAAAATAATAAAATAAACGTTTTAATCGCACGCGGTCTTCCTCAGTATAATATTATATTCATTGTTAAAATCTATTTTTAATTATTATAATAAAAAAAGAAGAGTGACCGCAAAAACAGGCCTAAAACCGCCCGTTTCGTGAACGTCGAGTTTTGATGTTGGTAATAAATGATTGTGTATCATCAAACATTGATTCCCTAAAAATTTCGAATTGAGCATACCTTTTATTGCTGCGATATGAAGGGTTGAAGTTGGTATTATTCACAAATAAAGGGTACGCCATTTTACACGTTCAACACAAAATATCTCGAGATTATTTCTCATATCAAAAAATGTTTTAGACAAGATTTGTTTATCTGTTAAAAGACCAATTTATTGTGACCTCAAATTGACATTTAAGTCAAACTTGTAAAGGTCATTTAGAGCTCAACTTGCGATTTTCAGTACTCATCTCGAATTTTTCTAAAAATGTCTATTTGAACGCTATATGACCTTACAAATTATTCCTTAAAGGTCCATTTAAGATTCACGAGTAATTAGACCGCAGAGACAGGTATCCGACATCAGTTGAAAAACATTTGATTGAATTTCGCAAATTTATTTGAGGTCATGATAAATTGGCCTTCTAACAGATAAACAAATCTTGTCTGAAACATTTTTTGATATTATATATTATATATTAAATTATATATAATATATTAATACTAAAATTGCACGTATTAATAAACTTATTCTAATGCTTTAATGTCAATCATAAATTATAGATAAATTATAGGTTTTTTAGTTGCGTAAGCATGTCTATTTATTCTTTGACCTTATAGTTAAACCTCTCATCTTTAAACATCGAGTTAAAAATTATTTTTGTTGATTTTCTTCAATAAGCTCTACTTTGGTTTTACTTAAAACATTTTCTCATTCTCAATTTACAAATACACTGGTCGAAAAAATTATTACAACACGCACTTAATATCAAAATTTCGCGTAAATTTAAATAAGCGTATCTTCGTGAAAAATTATCGTATTTGAAAAAACTTTTTTTATGTTTTAAAGGGTGAACTTTCTACTTTAAGATACTTTCGTTCGATTTTGATTTCATCCTCTCCTCTTCTCTCCACCCTTTTATAAAGTAAGATGTATTTTTTTTCAAAAAATTGCAAAATTTGACGAACTCTACGAAATAAATTTTTTCGCAAATCTTGAATCAATATCTTCATTATTTTGTTCGTTCACATATGTAACGATCAGCGTTTATACTATTTTATAATTTCAATCCGATGTTTCTCTTATTTTTTATTATTTATAATTTTCAATTAGATGGTTGTTTTATTTTTGTATTGAAAAAGGCTGTTGTGACAGCCGAAACGTTTACAATTTATTACAATTTATTGTTAAGATAATAAACACGAATAATATTATATAACATCTAAATCAATTGCTCTTTATTGGCCTCTAACTAATTGAGTATTGTTTTAATTTGTCTTAATATAGAAAACACACAATAGATTACTTTAACTAAAAAAATGACATATTTTAATTATAAAGCATTGTGTCTTGTTAAAATACAAAGTGATCAAAAGTACACATTAAAAAAATATATATATTCATTTAATACAAACACATTGCACACAAATTGTAGTAATTGTCAATCATTATTTCTGATAGAACGATATATATTGCTATATTCTATGTGCAAAAGCGATAATTGTTTTTTTTATTTTTTTCAGAAAAATTATTTATACTCCGAAAAATTATTTGTTCAAGAAAATGTATTTCAAAACCGAGTTGATATGGTATAATGCTTTACTACTGGCTTTATTGCACATTATTGGTATTTATGGTTTATTGACTTTCAACTATTTGGAAAACCCAATGACTACATTGTGGAGTAAGTGTTCCGAAGTTTTGATGTAAGATGAACAACCCACTTTCTGACTTTTTAAATGCAGCAAAGACAGTTATTCTTTATTTATGAAAAGCAGTATAAAATAAAATTGATAACAAATAGTTTCATTGTGAATCAGAATTTTCTGTATAATATACACATTTAATTTGCTAGCAAATAAAACTAGATATTATATTAAAGTTATTTATTTAAAAATACCAATCTATTGTCGGCGTTTGTGACCCTCTGATTTATTATTAATTATTTATTTCAAAACGTTAGATTCTTTGCAATTAAAAGTAATACATAGTGTTCTTTATTTAATTGATAATTGATATGATCATTAACGTCAAAGAAAAAAATAAAATTAAAATATATTGACAGAGTCAATAAGTGTGTCAGAAAGTGGGCGTTTATCTTACATTTTTACATAGAAATCTAAAAGATGTTTGAAAATGATGATATTTTCCGTGTAACTTTTAACGCGCATTTCGACTCTCAGAATTATATATTTGAAGCGAAATCGAAATCATAATAATTAGCATAACTTGGTGCGAGTTGAAACGTTCAAATATTTATAAAGCAATTAATAATATTAAAATTCTTCAATTATTTCCTAAGCCATTTGATATTTGAAAATTTACGCAAAATGATACTTTAAGAAAGTACATTTATTTATATTTTTTTATACTTTCAGCTCTATTAAATTAAATCCATATTTGTTAAGAGTCAATTCGTGTTTGCCAAGAACCGTAACTGACATGTTTGCTGAATGTGCAATCATAATCATGAAAGATAAAAAATTTCTTTAGTGAAAATATCAGTATTTTTCTCTTGGATCTCTACGTATCTCATTTTACAAATTGTTTACAAATTGTTTACGTTTTTATTGTTTAAAAAATATAAATATAAATAGGGTAAGCTCGGAGAAGATAACCATAATTCATAAAAATGCAAAAAATATACTTTTTTGTTATTTTTTAATAATATTTGACACATTACTTTATTTGTGAAGAATATATAATATCTACTATCAAAATTAAATAATAAACACATAATAGAAATTTTTTATATTATCAAACTACTAAAATATGAACATTGGCCATCTTTCCTGACTTTTATGAAAATGTTTATAGTATTATAAGACAGTCGAGACTATATATTTTATGTTAAAGTAATTAAAAAATACTTATAATTTTACATATTTAGTTTTTTATTTGTATACATTAAACATATTAAATATTAATATATTTTTTAAATATAAAATAAACTTTTATATAAAAATTAAATTTTAAATATAATTTTTCAGATTGATTTTTTCACTAAAAATAATCTTTGAAACAATCTTTATAAAATAGAACAGAAGTATTTAGATTAATATAATATAATTTTCTCATATTTTGTAGTTTTTGTCGTGTACATTATATCCCATCTCGGAGTGACCGCTGGCGCACATCGACTTTGGAGTCACAAAAGTTACAAAGCCAAGTTACCATTAAGAATTTTCCTTATGGTATGCTTTAGCGCTTGTGCACAGGTATCTTTAGTCCCATTACATTTTATTAATTTGATGAAGGCAGTTCTTTATACACATTATATATAATGCATGCAAAATGTGTTAAAAAAATTATATTTAAAATTTTTATTTTAGAGATACAGAAAATTAAATTACATAAAAACAAAGTTTTTTGTATATTACAAAAATGTTGAAAATAAATAATCCTTTACTAACTAAATCTTATCATACAAACAAATACATAAATCTTACATAAACAAAATTATATTACAACGTTTAATTATCAACATATTTGGTATTAAAAATTAAAAAACTTAGACAAGATGTTCGATTCGAAAAAAATCAATTTTGATTAAAGTTAATTAAAAAAGTTATATTTTATGGCTTTATGTTCAACACTTCTTTGAAAATACATAATAATATAAAAATTATTTGTTTTTATAGAATTCGATATATAAGTGGGTGAAAAATCATCGTATGCATCATAAATATAGTGATACTAATGCCGATCCTCACAATACCGGGCGGGGGTTCTTTTTTCGCATGTTGGTTGGATAATGATGAAGGAAGATCCGGAATATATTGAAAAAAGCAAGCAAATCGATTTATCAGATATGAAGTCAGATCCCGTTGTAGTTTTTGGTGAAAAGTAAAAACTATTCCATTTATTTGGTCATAATTATTATTTTTTACATAATAATATAAATAAGTATCTTTATAAAGTTGGCGCCTCCATTTTTTAAATTCTAAAAAAATTATGAGAGTTCTAAATTAATTTCACGACGTCCCCCATTACGTAAAAATTCTTTTGCAAAATTTCCGAAAATATTCGGTTTTTCAAATTATGTTTTTATTTAAAGTATGTTTGCTTTAAACAAAACTCTTTCTAAAATCGACTGAGTGAGAATTCTAAAACTTAAAAAAAAAACAGAACTCTAATAATTGTTTTTTATATAGACAAATTATGTCTGTATAATGTATACATTTTTTGATCAAATAATAACTTTTTTTTTAATTTCTTGAAATATGTAATTTTTAAATTTAATAAATAGATTTATAGTGAAATGCACATATATAAAAAAGCGTTAAAATAATTTTCAAATGTTTAAAGTAGCATTTTTATAGATACTTCTTGTTACTTCAATTACTGTTTGGTTTCATTCTACCTACAATGATACCCGTGTACTTCTGGAATGACACCTGGGCTAGAGCCATCATATCGCAAGCGTTTATACGATACATACTCACTCTAAACGCTGTGTGGTCTATCAATAGTTTCGCTCATGCCGTTGGTACCAAACCATATAATAAGTACGCAATTCACATGTATAATTCACGATACTTGGAACTTGTACTTTTACAGAATTACATCTATATATAGCAAACAACAAATAATAAATAATAAAAATTGCCAATTTTACATAAATAATTTAACATAATTGTCTATCAATAATAGCAATTGTATTTTATAACAAAGCATTATGGTAAAGTTTTCGAAAAATAAGAAAATTAATTGATTCTTTTTCTTATTGGAATAACTCCTTGATAATTTTTATGAAAGATCAAGGTTTACAATCTCATTATATTGACAATGTTTGATAACATCAGTTTCTTGTTTTTAGGAATATAGAACCGACAGACAATAACTTGATGAATTATATAACGACAGGAGAAGGATATCACAATTATCATCATACGTTTCCATGGGATTACAAGTCAGCAGAATTAGGAACCAATATAATGAATTACTCTACATTCTTTATCGATATTTCTGCAAAATTAGGATTAGCCTATGATCTCAAGTATCCATCCCTGAAATTGGTAAAGAGCGTCATTTTAAATAGAGGTGATGGGAGTCATCCAAAACACCAAGAGCAAAGTCCAATTAATTAATGATTAATATAATGATTAAAAATACAAACATAATCACAAAAGTAAAACAAGAACTGTAGTAAAATAAAATTTTAAAAATAGCCCAAAAAATAAAAAATACATCTTGTACTTAAATATGTATTTTGTGATCGATGAATTTTGTTTTTTGTTAAAACACAAATTTGAATTTTAACGGGTTAGAAAAAGCCAGATGCAAATAATAGTGCGTCGATTTCAAAGAAAATTGTTTTAATGAGGTTGAACCCATTGAAACTGAATAATTATATGAAACATAATTTCAATGAAAAATTAATTTTTCTTGAAACCGATTTATATATATACACATAACACAAATTTTCCTTGTGTTTTTTTGTTGATTTATTTTTAATGATAAACAAGTTAATAGTATGTAACGTATGTAAATTAATGCGTAAAAGGCGTAAGGGACAATTTTTAAACTCTATGTAATAAAAAGTTTAATTTAAATAATATAGGTGATTGGGCAATATTAAAGTAAATAACATAGATGATTGTGCAATATTAAAGTTAAATATTACAAAAGTTAGTACACAATTATAAATAAATAGGAAATCTATTAAACTATTATTAATTATCAATAAAAAAATCAAAATATAAGAATTTTTAAATTTAACTATTTAATAACAATAAGTATATAGACTATAGACTATCTCAGGTAGATCTATTTTTCAAAGAAAAATAAGTTTCTTTACAAAATTTTCGAAAATATATTGTCTATAGAATATTGCAATTTTTAGCTGGAAAATGAAATTAGATTTTCATAAATTTTTTATAAAAATATATTATATTTTATATGAAATGTATAGTTATTACTTACTTGAAACACATTTGCTGTACAATTTATCTCTGTGACATAGAAACTCTTAATAAATTCTTAATAAAACAACTTACATAACTTTAAATTGTTAATTCAGAAATTTGCATCTCGTGGCACGAAACGTTCTTGTTTCGAGGTAAACATTCTTGGAGAAATCCACGATAAAAGTAACAAGAAAGGTCGAAATTAAAAGATATTGCGCAATCAATATCAATATGGGTGAAGGTAATCAATATTGATTATGAAATATTTGCATGGAAATTTTTCGGAGTGGCAAAAACGCGCTGCGGTTATATTTCTTGCCGTAGTGGAAACCGTGATCCAATTTAGTCTTCTAATATTTCATCCGACGAAAAATCGATTTTTTATATCAATGTCAACTAAATGGCCGATAAATATTATTCTTCTTATCTCATTCGAAGAATATTAGTGTAATTAAATAGAGAAGCTCTCTCACACGAAATAGCCATTTGATACAAAATAACAAAATTACTTGTTATTATTGTACATTATATTGACAACTTATACTAAAAATGCTCAAATTTGTTTTTCCCTCGAAAAAATTTGTTTATTCCACACAAAAAAAATATATATCTGCTCTTGGAAAATTTATCGTACGGAAGATCGATCTTGTAAAGTTGATTTATTAATCAATTTGAGCAGCGAAGGGATGAAAAAATTAAGTTCTATGGAAAAGTACGGTGAGATAGATTCTTTTTGCCTTTCTGGCGCTAATTTAGAGCAATTAATTAGGTGAGCATTCAGTATACAGAGACTCATAAAGCTTACGTTCTGAGATGAAGCAAAATTAGCCTTGAATCTTTCTTTTAACAAGAAAGACGGAGAGAAGAAAAATTATTAATATGTATATATATAATAAATTATATATATATATATATATATATATATATATATATATTATATTGATTATATATTAATTATGTATTTTTATTTTATTTAATTTACATTTCATTTTTTCGACTCTCGTGACTCAATCGTGCAAAAAAACTGTGTATCTACAATCGAGAGTTACGATGTCCTGAATTTATTATCCAGCGCAATATTTGACACGTTATTTTCGTAAATGCGGATGGATGACACATATATAATGTGAATTCACCAGCAAATGGTATCACGCACTCTCCGTTTTTCTATGACGCCGTATTATATTCACTGTAAATGACAACACACAGTTCGTATTCCATAAAAAAGTGTGATTGACATAGTCATTATATGGATCATTAATTATAAGACAAATATGTATTATATGAAACTGCAAACAATAGCTTATATCAAGTCCGATCTTGATAAGAAACTAGTCGACGGAAAAGCTTTCACTTTTTATAGCTCATTGTTGGTTCTTTTTTTCTCTCCCCCTCTCTGTCTTTTCCGTTCTTTTTATTTAAATTATATTATAATAAGAATATTAAATCGGCTTTTTTAATATAAAAACACGATATATACCTCCTCCTTCTCGGCCATAGAGCCAAACGCGATGTTATTGCGAAACTTAAGCAAGAAAATTAAAAAATCTGGGAATTTGTATCTTATGGTTGAGATCTCAAAAATTCCCCTTGTTCCTCTTTTTTTAACTTCCTCTGTAAGGAGTATTTATTTAAGAATAATATCTATTATCCTTCGAATATATATTTATTATTGTAGAAATGTATTATTGTAAACTTAAATTATATATTTAGTCTGTATATATATGTATATATATATATGTATATATATATATATATATATATATATATATATATATATATATATATATACACATATCTACACACACGCGCGCGCGCGTGTGTGTGTGTGTGTGGAAAATGTCAAACGCAACGTTTCACGCAACGTATATGTGTGTAATTATATTCTTCTATAAATAAAGATAGTTAACAAACGCGTAAAAAGATTGGTGTTTACGTTTCGATATGCGTATTATTAGAATGCGTACGATATTGACTTCGTATTAAAATTCTGGTTGTAAACAAGATTAGAGTGCGTATATACATATGTTATTAACATCATTAATATGATATCACATTGAATAACATTACGTATAAATTGACGTAAGCTCCAATTATTCAAAACTGCATCCAAATTATTCCAAAAACAAAAAGAATGACATTTCAACACATTTCTCACCGTGTCGCATTATTATGTATTTCCTTCCCCCTTTTTTCTTCTTGTCATTTTACCTTTTTTAGTGCAAAAGTTGCGTCTCGCGTCTACATGTTTCGCAACGACGATAATAATAGTGATGACAATGACAGCAATAACAGCAATAATCCCATGCCATATAACAACTTACACATATGCTAAAGTCAGCTAAAGCAAAAGCAACGAGAATGAGCGTATGATTAGGGTGGATTATTATTATTTTTTTTTTTTCGTCATTCTCGGATAAAAAATAGAATTTTTACCCCAAACACGACACGCTTGCTGCGAGCGCTCATCGCCAACTGACAGCTAACAACTGATGCGTCAAACGCTAGGCGGCAAAACTAAAAAATCAGCGAGAAAATGTCAAACGTCGATGTCAAATGTGACAAATAGAATTTATCTGCATTGTGTAATGTTTGCGATAAAATTCTGCGAACATTACAGAACATTGCACTTTGCTGCATGTAAAATTTTGTTCTTGTATTTCTATTTTGTGACATAGCTTACATAAACTATGAAAGAAAAAAAGAGAGAGAAAGAGGCAGATATTATATCTTGCATGCGTATAGAGAGAATTATAATCATATTAATTATATGCAAAGCATAAAGAATGTTATTATAACATTTAATGCTGCATTGTATTTATATGTTGTATGTATGCAATTTTCAATATGATTTTTAACAATATAAATGATAATATTTCTTTATATAAGAAACCATTATAGTACGACGAGATATATTATAATTAGTGATTACCTAATATTTATGATTTATAATAATATAATAATAATATAATAATTTAATAATTGATGATTATAATTAGTAATTCCTTTTTTAACGAACTAATGATAAAAAACCTAAAGTTTATTGAATGTAAACTCTCACTTAAAAAGAAATTTTCAAAAAATGTGCGATTCACTCGTTTGCTAATTTTTATAGTCGTCATTTTTTGCGGTAAATTTCAAAGGTTCTAAAAAATTGCATTGTGATAATGAGCAAGACCTATATTAAAATAATTCGATTCTAGATATTTAAATCTATTCTTTCACAAGGTTTATATTTTTTGCAACGTGCATGTGATATTTCATATTCTCTAGTATTTTCGTGACAAAATTAATCCCTATTAGCACAGCTGTCAAAAAACTATTTAAAGTTATTTTTCTTTCATTACGTACCTGAATTATTCAATATCCACAAAATCCTTTGAAGTCATTCACCAAACAATCGGTTGTTTCTTTAAAGATGAGAGAATCGAGATGAGATTGTTCTTTCACACACGAAAACGAATGTTTCTTTCAAAAATTGACACGAGGAACAACTTAAGACGCTTTTCGATAACGCGATGCCATCCTGCAACAATCAATAAAATATAATTTTAGCAAAGTTTTAATATATATTTATATATTATAGTATAGGATAAAATGCAAAATTAATCATTATTCAAACGTAAAAAAATTACTTTCACGATGTATTTATTTTAAGTAAAAATTTTAGTAAGGTAATTTTAATAATTTATTATATATATATATATATATATATATATTTTTTTTTAATATAAACACACATAGTAGATTGAATGTATGTATCGCTTTAGATATATCGTGAAATTAGTTCAAATATATCGAAATTCATGCGTATCATGTATGTAGAGTATTGCACATTTAAATGTCAAATTCATATGTCAGTCGCAACTGTGATAATGATACATAGACGTTAATTTTCGTGCAATAGAACCTAATATATATATCAGAAAAATTCAATATCTCAAGACCAATTTCAATTTCAGATTTAATATCAGTTTAATAAACACAGTATCGGTGCAAAAAGATAAAACTGACGCTATTATCATATGCAACCTATTCCTGAAAATAAACCGATCGCATCTACTTCCGCAGACACACAAGCATCTGATATTAATGTACAGATGCGAGGAAAGTAAGTGAATTATCAATTTTACCCATCACAACTCTCTGAATATATTTTTCTTTATCGAATACACAATAACATTCAGATCGCGGAACACATCGATTCAGATCGCGGAGGAGAGGAACGAAGATGAAGATGAAGATGACAATACTTGTTGCAATCGCGCAACCTTCTGCCCTCCGATATTACGGGAGACCCTCGTGACCGACGTGATATCCGCGTGCTTCAATCTACAACTGACATCGGCGAATCTCTTCTGGTTCGGGACTGTGACCGGCATGATCCTGCTGGCCTGGGCCGTTCTGTACTTTTGGTTGGGTGACGTAATGTTACCAGGCGGCAGCGTCTTCGGCCTCCTACTTCTCATTCTTTTCTCCTACGTGCTCGGCTGGACTCTCTCTTACATCCCTCGGCTTCATCTGCCGCCCATCTTCGGCATGCTCCTAGCTGGTATAATATTACGCAACACCGATGTCTATAATATACACGAGGAACTCGGACCGCGCACGACTTCCAAGATCAGGACCTTCTGCCTGACCTTCATCATGGTACGTGCCGGCCTGCAGCTGACGACGACTGCATTAAGGGCGCATCCTGTGTTCGTGATGATTCTCGCACTTGTGCCGTGCACCGTAGAGATGCTGACGATCACCGTCTCCTGCAGATATCTTCTCGATTATCCGTGGAATTGGTCTTTTATGACAGGGTGAGCGAATTTTCATATCGTCGCACGCAGAATTTCTCAGAATTATATTAATTAGGAATAATCGCAAGTTTAAAATTTCATTCCAGGCATCTTAACAAAAAGAATAATTCATACAAAATTATTATATGTATGAATATTATACACACACCGAAAGATTTGAGAAATTGAATTGTTTTTTTGTTCTAATATTCTTTAAAATTCTTTATAATCTTTTTATTAAAAATAAATATTAAGAAAAGCATTATTTATTTATTTGTTCAAATAAAAATTTTACACAGTGTTATAAAATATCTTATATATTTTTTATTTGATAGAATTTTATAATTTATTAAAATGCAATCGAGTATAAGATTCTCTTATCTTACTGCAAAAAATATAAAGAAAGATTTATACAGTATTAAGTTGCCTTTCAAGGACAATCGTGGCCTGCATATCTCCGGTTGTATTGGTTAACTGCATGCTCACTCTAGCTGAACAAGGTTACGGAGAAGATAAAGGCTTCACCAGCTTATTATGCACGGCAGCATCTATCGACGTCGTCCACATGGTGTCTCTATTTTCCATTTGCTTCTCTTTCGTTTTTAGCAATGGTATATAATAAAAATCATAAAATATCCTAAAACGTCATATGAAATACATTGATCAATTTGCTAATTATTTTAATTCTTTGAACGCAAAAGAGTTTGCATTTCAAACAAATTTTTCGAATCTTCGACGAAAGAAAATGGAAAAAGAAATATCGATATAAGATAACATAAGAAATTGACGATATGCATTTTATAATTTATATTTAAATTGTAGTTCTAAAGCTAAATAATTATCCGCGTTCGCAAAAACTATTCGTTTATATCTAATATGTATGTAAATTGAACATATGTGATTTAAATATTTTGTAACTTTCATAACATAAATTAAACAAATACATTAATGCTTAGCATCGCAAACTGGTAGTAAACTGCATAAAAATTATAATAAAAATATAAATGTATGAAGAAAGCTTTTCGTATCAAACAAGTTATACATCTTTCTAGATGACAGAAGAACAGAATGGTGGTCTTATATCCCTGGTGGGATTCGAGATTTCCTTCTAGGACTTATAATAGGAATTATCTTGGGCTTCGCCTTGGCCTTTCTTCCTCATCGCAATCACGTAAGTATTTTATTCACTTCCTCGCGTTTAAGTATATTCGCGAAATTCGAGTCACGTATTCGCGAAAATACGTTCGTACAATCTGAATTAATGCCTTATGATCATCTTTTCGCAATGTTTCATTAAAAAATCGCTCCTTCCAAAAAAATAAAATGTTGTGCCATTTTTATGATAAATATTTACATATTCTAATTTCTTATATAATTTTATATTAATTGTACTCCTACTTTTTTGATTGTACATCAGAAACATGCATTGTGGTATCGCATCGGCGGTTTGGCCCTTGCATCTTTGATGTGCACCACAGCAGCATCAAGACTTGCGGTTACAGGTGGAGGATTTCTCGCTACCGTTATATTATCGTTTATAGCAATTCACGGATGGCGAATCTTATCAGTTTCGTATGATGTAAGTATAATAAAAATCAATCGAAAAATAAAAAATTTTCTCATTGTTTATTCGCGTCTAGTTTACATCTTAGAAAAATTCTAGATTTATTTCCATTGTTCTTTTTACATTGCAGGCTACGCCTTTTCATAAAGCGTTTTATTTCTTGGGGCTTATTGTACAACCGATTTTAGGGGGAGTAATCGGGGCTGATATCGATTTTAGAAATTGGGCTGCATCGAAATTTGGACTCTACCTCGCCTGTGTACTCATAGGTATATCCGTAAGTTATCATTTTTATTTAGTAAGAAATAATTTTAAAAGGCAATTACAAAGGACATTGAATATATAAATTTTTTGAACATTATGTAAAATGATAAAATTTTGAAATTAATTTTCTATCGCGACATATCAATATTTATATGTTGTAAATGCAGGTTTATATATCGATATAAATTTTACACAATTTTCCAAAAGGCGCGCGGTATCACCACTTTTCTAACGACTCTAAGAATGCCCTTCACGTTGAGAGAACGATTATTCGTCGCTATAGCTTCAGTACCAAAAGGAAGTTTACAGGTAAAAAAGAAATTATCTCAAGTAACAAAAAAAAATATAATTAACAATGTGTAAAATTTATTTTCAAAGATATTTTCCTTATAGAAATTTATTACTAGTAAGTCCAAATAATCACTTATTTCGAGTACTTAAAATTACTGTCAGTAATTTAAATACTCGAAATGAGTGATTATTTGGACTTACTAGTGATAAATTTCTGTAAAGGTTTAAAAACGTTAAAATAATATTTTATTGATTAAATCCCTTTTTATTTATTAAAAAATGTTTATTTTCACGTTAATATATAATATAAATATATATTTAACATTTATTAAATATTTATTTTATTAACATTTTATTAATATAACTTTATTATATTATTTTTTATGAATAAAATGAATAAAAAGGGACTTGACTAATTTTTTAACGTTTTTAAAATATCTTTAAAAATAAGTTTTAAACATGTTTTTACTATTTTTGGAATCTCTTCGTGGTATCTTTATATCGTAATATAAGCAATTTTTTTACGTGAAATAATCAATTTAACATCAAATTAGGCAGCGCTAGCGCCGATGGCGTTCGAGCGTGCTAGAAAGGAGGACGATCCAATGAATATCGAATTAGCCCTCGATGTGGTAAGATTATCCGTAATTACAATAGTATTTCTGGCCCCGCTTGGCGCGCTCGGCATGATGACTAGTGGCCCCTTTTTCCTGAAGAAGATCAGTATCGAGGAACAAAAAAGGGAGCGTGAATTGAGCTATTCGCGCATCGTAGCTCTGCAACCCGTTATAAAGCGCAAACGAAAGAAAAAATTTATTGCAAATGCCAATAATAATAAGACACTTCCGCTGATAGAATCGACACTGTAGCATCTTAATATAAATTCATATATTTTCCCTTTTTCCTTCATTTCTTGTAATACAATTAATTATGAAACAAAGAAATATGTACATACTTGTTCACTGCTGTTGCTCGCAGCTTGGTTACAACCGGCGAAGAGATGGCGACCTCGATTTCGCGCGTATAGAAATAAACTCGGTTGACATCGAAATTGCGATTCCGAGGCGTAATTCGATTCATATTTCACGACGAAAGTCCGACACTTCACTGAACACTTACTTTTCGCACGAGATTCCGGTCTAAATGCACAATAATCGCGAAAAACGCGGGAGCCGCGATGCGACGCGCCTCTATTTTCCGACATTTTGAATTTGAATGCGATATTGCGATATTGCGATTCTCGAAGTATCGAAACTATCGAAGCGGCGAACCAATCACAACGTTGCTGTACGTTTCCTTCGAAGTTGTGTTCGAAAATGCGTCGAACGTAAAGTAACTTTTATCAACCAATCAGAACAAAGTGTCCTCAGCTTCTAATTGGTCGATTACAGTCTATTCTATTCGATGAGTAGATTTTTGAACGTAACCTTAGGTATTTTGATTTGAGGGTTAGATTGATTTTGATACGTCGCACGTGGAAACGTTCATATTTTCTTGAAATTTATTTATTTATCCTCAAATATGGTTCGCAAAAAAAGGTAACATTTTGTAAATAAATTAAATTCATAAAAGTAAAATCTGAATTTTAAAAAGTTCTAATAGCGTACAAAAATTAATTCTGCGAGAAATTAAAATTAGATTTTAATTATATGAAATAATTTGCGAAATAATCATCTTTGACAAAATTTACTAATTTTTAATTAAGAGATGAATGAAAAAGTAATTAAGTTCACAATTTTTTAAATTTAAAGGACAATTTATATTTATGCTTTGTAAACGCTTCAATTTCTAAATAATATTAAAATGTTTTATATTTGTTAATTTATTTTCTCTTATGCTAGAACAAGGAAGCCTCTTGATAATGAAGAGGCAAGTGATATGGAAGATGATATCGCAGACATAGACATGGATGCTGTGACAGATTCAGAGGAAGAATATACAGAAACTGAAAGAAAATTGCTAGAGAAAGTGCGGAAACAACATACCACTGAAAATTTTGATAGTGAAGATGAAGTTTACAAATTACATGAGAGTGATGAGGAGGAACAGGATGATGATCAGCAAGATTCGATGGAGTCTGATGTTGAAGAATTACAAGAGGATCATGATATGCCAGATGACAGAGCTTGGGGCAAGAAAACAAGAAATTTCTATTCATCAGACTTCAAATATACAGATTATGCGGTAGCGCCTCAAAAGGATTTAATTAATGCTGATATGGAAGAAGAGGAGGGAAAGAAGCTGCATTTGCGATCAATGGAACAATATTTAGATCTTGACAGCATGAATATCAATCAAGTAGTACAAATTTTAACTGATAGGAAAAGTGATCAAAAAGATAGTAAACAAATATCTGATAAGGAATCTTTTATGTTTATGGTCAATAATTATAAAGGTATATATATAACATACGTCATGATATTTTTTGCTATTATTTAGTTTATTACTAAACATGATTAATTATTTCGTTTATGAATATAGTGTTTTAATTAATTTTGTAAGAAACTTTTCTCTTTAAGCAAAGCTTTCCACAAATATATCTCTTAATATATTTTTAATGTTATAAGTTTATAAAGTGAAAAAATATATTTCTTTTGCATATATTGTATAAATACTAAAAACCTTGAGAGCATTAATGTATAACTATTTCTTTTACAGATTGTATGACAGAAGCAAGAGATATTTTGGCACCCTTCCTCAAACTGGTTGAAAATGGAACATGTCCTGATTGCGACGCTGTAACTTTAATTAGAACTAAATATTATGTTTTATTAAATTATTGCATCAATATCTCTTTTTGCTTGATACTAAAAGCTAAAGGTTTGCCAGTAAAAACGCATCCAGTTACAAAATGTCTAATACATTATCATAAATTGCTCGATCAATTGCAATTAGAACAAGGAAATTTATGGGAACAAGTGGCAGAGATAGTTAATGCAGTTAAGGAGGGTAAACCTATTTATTGTATATCAGATGGTTCTAAAATACAAACTCGTAAAGATATTCCAAAACAGACTGGTTTAAAAAAGAAATCAACACATAAAAAAGAAACATTAATAGAACAAGTCGATCAAAAACAATTACTATCAGATAGTATGGAAGAAGTAGATCCAGATGAAAAAGCTATAGATGATGAAAAGGATAATGCCATGAACGTAGATCCTATAATCAAAGGGGAAGAAAAAAGAGCGATCACTTATGAAATGGCAAAGAATAGAGGTCTTACACCTTATCGTAGAAAGGAATTACGCAATCCTCGAGTAAAACATAAAAATAAATACCGTAAAGCGTTAATTCGTAGAAGAGGCGCGGTACGTATACATATTTATATAAAATATGAAAATTAAAAGTTTATTGCTATACTGACATAAGAATTTAAGATATTTTATATGATAAATATTATTTTTTGCAGGTAAGAGAAGTCAGAAAGGAGTTGAAACGTTACGAAGGAGAGATCTCGGGTATCAAAGCTGGTGTGAAAAAGGGCATTAAATTAAAATTATAAAAGGATTTTACTCATACATATATCAATGAAAAATTGATATTAATGAAATTAATCTCGTTCAAGAACTAAGAAAGCAAAATCATATATAAACATTATTAATCCCAATATTCCAATTGATAATAATGTATTAAATGTTGTATATTAAAAAATATATAGCATGTACCTAATTTTTAATAATTTTCGAATAAAGAAGGAAAGAAAGTACACACTTGTAGTTATTTAAACAGTAAATATACGATATTAAATACAGTATGACACTAATACAGTAGACAAAATGCTTTATTTTATCAGAAAATTGTATGTACATATAGAATGAGAAACACAATGGCGTTTTAGCAGCAACATTCTTTAAAAACTACAGGTTTTTGTTAAATGAAACAACTTTCAAAGTATTATATTACAAAACTTAATATATTTACTCTTCCTTGCTGCAAATTAGTTCGTAAAGTTGCAAAACGGTATGTAGCATTTACGAAACTGGGAACGTCAATAAAGTCAATGAATAATTTAAACTTCTACTTTTGCTAATATATCCGATTCGCGGAACAAATGGTATTCTTTATTATCCGCGAGGTCGACTTTCGTGCCGCCATATTCGGGAAGTAATACAACATCTCCAATCTTAATGCTTAAAGGCACATGCTCTCCTTTCTAAAAAAAAAAAAGAAAATATAATTACTAGCAAATATTGTTTAGAATAGTAGATAGTAGCCAGAAATATATTAAATGTGATATAAAAGTATGTACAATTTTTCAATACATACATCATTCCTTGCTCCAGGTCCTGTCGCAATAACTGTGCCTCGCAGGACTTTGGCTTGCGCTTTCTCCGGCAATACAATGCCACCTTTTGTTTTTGTTATAGCCTCCGCTCTTTGTATGAGGACTCTGTCGAAAAGAGGAATAAGTCTCTTCACAGCATTAGCAGCAGCCTGAAACATGTATAATGTAATTATGTATATTTTCTTCAGTCTCAGTGTTTTATTTAAACTATAATAGAAAAATTTCTTGTGGAAATGATAACCAAGCTATACTCTTCATGACTGACGTTTAATTAATTACCTTCTCTGTTATAAATCTTCGGGCATTTAAAATAATATAAAAATTTCATTAAAGTATATAATAAAGAAAAAAAATTGAAGTATGATGCAAGCAACTAATCAAATTTCTCGCTATACGCCAACTTTGTGAAATACCTGAAATTCCTGCATATTTAGCTACTTTTTTCCTTTTTCAGAGATTAAATTACTATACAAGTATGTAATTGCAGTCGAGGCACCGATTCGTCCATATCTCGACATATTCATAAACAAACGCCATTCGCTTCGAAGCAATAAACAAAAAGAAACAGCAACGATATCGCAAAATATTTCGTTACTTTAGGAATAATTGGGGATACGATTTAGAAATAATGAAGATAAAAGGCATCTTGTGGAGTTATAGAGGGGTTATAAAGAGAATGACGTTTCGTAAAAAACAATTTTCTCCACAAAAAAGAAGACAAAAATCTATATCTCTACTGCATCTCGTGTTTGTTTCATACAGAATTTCTCACCATAATTGCGATTTCTTTGGCAGTCACGACAATTCTAGGCAAAGCACGATAAAAGCACGCTCTCGAACACGTTGTGTAACCTAAACTGCGGCCGGCACTCTGAGCAGAGATCTTCTCGAAGCTTCCCCTCCACGAAGGTTCCTGCGAGTCTCACGTTGCGCCACTCGTCTTATCGCGGCAGAAAAGTGATTACGCAATCACCGGCGCTCCCCGTAGAATTTCGAGAACCACTCCGGTCTCTTCGATCTTTCGACTTTGAACGAGAAATTAATTTTATTACTTATTTATTTCGTCCTTCTATTATTCTCAAATCCCCTTTCGATTTACGCTCTTGAAGTTGCCGCTAGAAAACGTCATTACCGGCGAGACTTATAATCGATAAATATTCACGATATAATCGATATATAAAAGCGAGCTGTCAATTTTTTTTTTTTTTTTTTTTTTTGCATATCGATAATTCGCCACGTCATGATATTTATGAGAGATAACGAGAAAAATAGAACTGCCTGATAAGAGGGAAAAACGTCTTTACATCGAATTTAAATCTCGCTATATGACATGTATAAATAATAAGCAAAAATAGGAAAGTTTCGAATTTTTGATATTCGTTTTCTCGAACAGTCGCGTTAAAAATAAGGCGCTAACTTCCAAATATACGATAATAAAAAGGGAACATATAGATATGCGAGGATGACTGACGACACCAGCTGATTGCGTCACGCGGGATCGTCGTACTTTCTAGAATCTGTTCCACGCGGAGGTCTCGTTCCATATATATATATATATATATATATATATATTATTTGCGTTTCTATGAAAGAAAATATTCATTAAACCTTGAAAGAAGACCACCTTTAATTCTGTTTCCTCCTTTAATTTATTTTCTGTACACGAAGCTCGAATTTTGATCGTCCTAATTATTATTCGAAATTAATGTCCGTCGAATTCAGTCGAACGTGGTGGAAAGATAAGGAAGAGGTTGGAAAAAGAGGAGGGGATTATCTCTCGTCTCTCTCATTCTCGCTCATCCAGTTCCATTTCGTTCCGAGTCGCGCAGACAACGTGTGCGGGTCACTTCGCGCCGATCTTCAACTCTCCGTTTCTCGACGTCGATCGACACCGGTCTATTAATTTCGCCGAGGAGCACCTTATTAAGGATCGAAGGTGAGAGGAAACGACGCGGGAAAGATCGCGAGGAAAATTCCCCGAGGCGAATTTAGCCGGCCGGAAAGTTCCGCGTGCGCGATCTTCGCGAATCGTCGACGGGATTCTCGTTTCTTCCAGAAGACGATTCTCGAAAAATGAGCCTCGGGGTTCCCGAAACCCCGGGTCCAGAGGGTTTTCCGGATTTTCCGCGATCCGCGGAAGCAATGGTTTTACTTCGGGAATCTCTTAACCTCGCGGTCCCACGCGGAACTTTACATAACCACATTTTCATCCTGAGATTGAGAAGATAATTTATGATAAGAATATTTTAGCTGAATTTGATAGATATTTACAAGATTTTTGCGATCTCTTTGTTATATGCTTACACGATGTGCAAGATTCTCTTATAATAATTTATCTTAATTTATTAATCTATCTGTCTAGTATAAGATTTTTTTTTAATTTTGTATCAATTAAATATTTATCTTTTTTTGTTTATAATAATACAATTAACAAGAGAAGTGAGAATTGAGTTGAATTTAACAGATATTTTGAATATTTTTACAATCTTTTTGTTACATGCTTACACGATATACAAGATTCTCTTATAATAATTTATCTTAATTTATTAATCTTTATCTGTCTAGTGGAAGATATTTTTTATTTTAAATTAAATATTTTATCTTTTTTTTATTTATAATAATACAATTAACAAGAAAAGTGATTGTTTCAATATACTTTTAAAAATTGCATCAGAAAATACAAAGTTACTTTTTAAGTTAAACTTATATATATTATAGATAATAATCCTTAAGGTTTGCCAGTAATAATTAATAAAAATCTTTCCTCAATGGTAAAAGTCGACTTTACTTTGTTTTTTTATATAAAACATTTCTACAATTTCTCTTTTTCTTGTTTGTTTTTCTTGATGCAAGATCCGATGCAAACTAACGACTGAATGCAATGTAGTGTCTTTGATATTATTTCTATGTTTTTTGATGCGCGTTTCTAAATATCTCTTATATATATTATATACATTGTTAAAATGATATGGTTTAAAATTAGAACCTCGACTGATATTAATTATGTTTCTTTTTAGATGCACAGACTATCTACCATATTGAAAGGAACTGCCCTACGCCAGTTCCAGGCACGTACTTATGCCAAAGATGTGCGTTTTGGAACGGACGTTCGTGCTTTGATGTTGCAAGGTGTAGACATTTTAGCAGACGCCGTTGCAGTGACGATGGGCCCTAAAGGCCGCAATGTTATTGTGGAACAAAGCTTTGGAGGTCCAAAGATCACGAAAGACGGCGTAACTGTGGCAAAAAGCATCGAATTAAAGGATAAGTTTCAAAATGTCGGAGCTAAATTAGTACAAGATGTAGCTAATAATACAAATGAGGAAGCCGGTGATGGTACCACAACTGCAACTGTATTAGCTAGAGCTATAGCCAAAGAAGGATTTGAAAAGATCAGCAAAGGTGCAAATCCTATAGAAATCAGACGAGGTAAGAGGATCAATTTTATATAATTGATAAGTTATCTTAATATCTTTTACGTATCATGCAGTGTCTTAGGAAATTTTATTTTTTGACCTTGCACTGCGAGATAAATTTAAGATTAGTTTATGTATACTTGATATATTTTTGTCGGAATTATTTATTAAAAAGTCTGTGACCTTTCAGGTGTAATGTTGGCGGTAGATAAAATAAAAGATGAATTGAAAACTTTGAGTAAACCAGTCACGACACCCGAAGAAATTGCCCAGGTAGCAACGATATCCGCTAACGGTGATCAAGCCGTTGGCAATTTAATATCTGATGCCATGAAGAAAGTTGGAAAGGATGGTGTGATCACTGTAAAGGATGGTAAAACTCTCAATGACGAGCTGGAGGTCATAGAGGGATTGAAATTCGATAGGGGCTACATCTCTCCATACTTCATCAATTCCAGTAAAGGAGCCAAAGTCGAGTTTCAAGACGCGCTCCTTCTCTTTAGCGAAAAGAAGATCTCCTCTGTGCAGAGTATTATTCCCGCATTAGAACTGGCCAACACGCAACGCAAACCTCTGATTATAATTGCCGAGGATGTAGATGGCGAGGCTCTGTCGACGCTCGTTGTCAACCGTTTAAAAATCTCACTGCCAGTGGCTGCGGTTAAAGCTCCTGGTTTTGGTGATAACAGAAAAGCTACTCTTCAAGATATGGCAATAGCTACCGGTGGCATTGTATTCGGCGATGACGCTAATCTTGTCAAACTAGAAGACATCCAGGTAAATATATGTCTGATTTAATAATTCAACAGCCTATAGCTCTCAATCAATGTTGTAGAATTTCATAAATAATTTACTTTTCAGGCAAGCGACTTGGGTCAGGTAGGAGAAATTATCATCACAAAGGATGACACTCTTATTCTGAAGGGCAAAGGGAAAAAAAACTGATATCGACAGAAGAGCTGATCAGATCAGGGATCAAATCGAGAACACTACGTCCGACTATGAGAAGGAAAAGCTGCAAGAACGTTTGGCGAGGTTAGCCTCTGGAGTCGCTGTCCTGAGAGTTGGCGGAAGCAGCGAGGTAGAAGTTAACGAAAAGAAGGACCGTGTACATGATGCGCTCAACGCCACTCGCGCCGCTGTCGAGGAAGGAATTGTTCCCGGAGGTAAATCTCGATCTCCTCGTTTCACCAGGTCTATTCTTTTCAGCTGAACTGACTGCACTAGTTTAGAGTTATTTCTTTCTTTCCAATGTAGAGTAAAAAAGATAAACTCTGAACTCTAATGCAGCCAGTTCAGCTGAAAAGAACAGACTTCATGAGAGTGTGTTTTTGTGTATACACTAATAAATATAATATTATGACGACGGTTTTTCTTACAGGTGGCACTGCTCTGTTGAGATGCATTCCGGCCCTGCAACAGCTCAAGCCGGTGAACAGCGATCAGGAGACCGGGGTGAAAATTATAGCGGACGCTTTGCGTGTGCCATGCCTACAGATCGCACAAAACGCCGGTGTCGACGCCAGTGTGGTGGTGTCCAAAGTGAGTGAGGGCAAATTGGGTTACGACGCTTTGAAGGACGAATACGTCGATATGATTGAAGCGGGCATCATCGATCCCACAAAGGTCGTACGCACGGCACTCACCGATGCGGCGGGTGTCGCGTCGCTCTTGACGACGGCGGAAGCGGTCGTCACCGAGTTACCCAAGGAGGAGACGCCGATGGGCGGTATGGGAGGAATGGGAGGAATGGGTGGTATGGGTATGGGTGGTATGGGCATGTAAAAAGAACAAAAAATAGACAAAGACTGAGAAAGGAACATCATATTTGTACCGCGATCCTGTACGTTATGAGACACAGCCGCGCAACGTTGTTGAAATAGATTCGGACATTTAATCTCTATTCGAGCGAAACAGAGATCTCCGATCACAGTTTGTATTTTGAAACATTAAAAGTGATAACACTCGACGCATCTGATATACGAATCCATCGTATGAATTCGTCGTTTGTTTTACATTTGCTTCTGTTCTAGGGATCTGTAACGTTACAAATAGTATATGCAGATCATTCATTATTTTTAATTTAAGCGAAGTATACATGTAGTACATGTAGGAATGTTTCAAATATACAAATGCATTTAATTGTAAAAAAAAACGGTTACTACATTATGAAACTTGTTGATATGTTTATACAGGTGATTTTGTGGCGAATTAACGATTTAACCAATTACATGATAATTTTTAAATAAATTTCAATTATTTTGTCCATCGTTGAATTTCCCATATTCCATATGATAATTGTTTTATAAAATCAGAAATGAATAGGTCTTGTTCAATGCTTGATATATTTCAGTTTTCTAGTTATGTAACATTCATTAGAATTGTAAATGTAAAGATATGAATGTATGTGTTAATTATGGAAGGTTAAATATATTTAGATTCATAATTTTTTATAATTATTAAATTTATTTTCTGCTTTAATAAATGTACGTTAAAATTACAACTTCTCTTTCTATGTGTGCGTGTTATAATAATTTTACAAACTATTATTGCAAACAAGTAAATAATCAAGAGTTGATAAATGAAAATTTTTATTAGAGTATAAACATTCTTATTATCCATTGTCTTGTTTTATTACACTTGCTTTTTCAATAGTAATATATTAAACACTAAATATGCTATATAAATATATGTCAAACAATCAAACATGTCAAAAACAATCTCTATTACATGTATATATCTTCAGTCATTCATTATTTTACATATGGGCCTATTACGACATGATCATCTTAAATATCTGTTGACATTTATATTTTCAGAATATTATCCTATAATTAAATTACTATTATTTTCTGAGATTATAAACATCTAGGTATTCAGGCTGATCAAATCACATGCAATCAAGACATATTTGAAAAAAAAAATATTCTCATCTTTATACTTTCGTAAATTTTTCATATTACGCAAACTCCAAGTACTTGTGCCTATCGATTTTTTTATATAACATAAAATTACTATAAAATCAAGAAGATATAGAATTATATTAATTAATTGAAAAGATATTCCGCTCTTGTCTTTGAAAAACAAAGTTTAAATTTGAACCTCAACGTAAATAAATAGATTGTTTCTTACAAGCATGCGCGAGTCTAGAGCACTTGCAACATATAAATATTTTTCAAAAATATGTTTATTCCTACCATATTTTTTATCCAATCATTTTAATCCAATAAAATGTACAAAATATAGTTGCGGGAGAGGTAGAGAGAAAGACAGCAGAAGTGTAAGAGGAAGAAAAAAAGCAATTTTTTAGTGTAGAATTGGTGTGTGTGTTTGTGTGTGTGTGTATGAAAAAGAAATATTTCATATTCAAAATACAAAGAAGTCCATTTTAAAAAATATATATATATATATATATATATTAAGCTTAGATGTAGATATATCCATAATAAAAAGCATACTTATGTTCGCTATATATTTATATCTAAGCGCCAATCTTCTCGATCTCGTCGGCATCTTCTGCGTCTAGGTAATGAATTTTCTTGCCAAAGTGTTTCTCTATGTCTTTGCACAATTGCATCGCGTGCGGTGAATCAATTAAATTAATGGCAATCCCCGATTTACCGAATCGACCTGTTCTGCCAATCCTGTGCAAATACGTTTCGCAATCGGCTTGTCGTTTTTGATCCATCGGCAGGTCAAAGTTAACCACTATTGTCACCTGTTCTACGTCGATACCTGTCAAATATTATAAATTATTATCATCTTTATATATTTGTTACAGTACGTTTAAGTGTAACTACTAACAAAATTCATAGATTTACTTGCACTATATATTGCATTGTTATATTTACCTCTGGCTAGGACGTTTGTAGTGATGAGAACTTTTTCAAGTCCTGCTCTAAATCTATCTAGCACGGAAATTCTTTGTTCAACTGTCAAGTCACCAGACAGTATCGCTACTGCATGTCCATCTTTTGTCATCTTCTCCGCCAACCAACTGGCTGTCTTTTTAGTCTAAAAATAATACATTTTTATCACAACACTTATTTAGGAATAATAAACACACTCCTCTCGACCAAACTGGCAATATTCGTTGATTCTTATTTAATAAATAAATATTGCCAGTTTGGTCGAGAGGATTGTGTTTAATATTTTTATTTGAATCACTGGTTATTTCAAATATCTGCATTTACTTATTTAGGATTTGATCAATTTTTTAAATACAAGTTCAAAGTTCTTACATGACAAAAAATAATTGCTTGTCCAATTGTTATTACACCATAGATATTGGTAATGGCTGTATACTTTTCATCTATGTTTTTGCACTTAATGTAGTATTGTTTTATATTGTCTAGACTTTCCTCTTCTCTTAATAGTCGTATTATTAATGGATTACTGACTATAATCTCTGCAAAGTTCATCACTTCTGGTTCATATGTCGCAGAGAAAAACATCATTTGACATGTACGTGGGAGTAATCTGCACATAAAGTAAATATAAGTAATGTCTCACATAAAACAAACATTTTGTTATATGTGATGCAATATTTGAGAAATTACTTATGGATACGAATGCATTGGTCTTGATGACCTTGTGTAGCAATCATTACATCCGCTTCATCCAATACAAACACAGATATTTTGCTTAAATCAAAAAATTTAAATTTTTGTCCCCAATCTAGCACTTTTCCTGGAGTTCCTATAATTATGTGCTCAGTAATCTTTAATCCACGGCTTACTGAAATGATTAAAATAAGTGTCAATTGTAGAAGTTGCACAACAAATAATTCAAATTGCATAAGAAAATAATGTATTACTTTCTTCTCCTCTCACAGCATACTTTATTTTTATCTCTGGGCAAAAGCGTGACATTCTTGCCGCTACTTCGCCCGTTTGGATCGCTAATTCATAAGTTGGCGATAAACAAAGTACTTGTGGGTAATCTTTTGTAGGATCCACTCGACTTAACATGGCAAGTACAAATGCAGCTGTCTTACCAGTTCCAGATTGAGATTGTGCAATCATATTTTGTGGTCTAAAAAAATTGTCCTAACAGTTTAAAGACTGCATCTTAAGAAAATATAGAAATAGAAAACAATTAGATTACGCTTACGGATCAGCGAGTAAAGTAGGTAAAGCAGTTTCTTGAATTCTAGATGGGGCATTGAATCCCATAGCATACACTCCTTTCAATAACGCAGGTTTGCTAAATTAAAAATTGATATATGTAAAAAAAAATGTCATTATGTGTTAATATTTGAGTGTGAAAATAAAGATTATTATAATTATTTACAGATGAAGAGCATCAAATGTTTTGACACTGTATAACGGAGAACTTGGATCCTTTCTTTGAATCTCTACATCTTTCGTGGTTTCAACTAATCCTTTCCTTATAATCTTTTGCAGAAGAGATTTCTCCGCTGGCGAAATTTGTTCCTCCGATGTATCATCATCACTCTTTGAATCATTCACAGACACAGGAGGAGTGGTCGCAGCTGGGCTTATTTTATTTAAATTCAAGTTTGTCACCTATATGACATATATAATCAATAAATTATTCGATCAAGTTCAAACGAGGAACACTGAGAATCTAAAACACAAGCAGTGTATTGAAAAAAAAAAAAAAAAAAAGGTACCGGTTACATTATCGCACAGACAAAATCAAAATAAATCGTGGGATCAAGAATATGTAGCGAGTCGCCGATTCTACGAAGAACAGTGATTTCCTGTCGCATTTTTAAATGAACATTGCAAACACGAAAAGAATTACGCTCGAGCGAATGTGTAATATATTTCCCGCGAGAATCTCTCTTGTTACCTTCGACGCCAATTTGTCCTGTTCATCGGCATATTGGCCCCAGTCGACCTTAGTCGAAGCCATCGATGCGTCGTTTCTAAATTCTTTCACGATTTCTATGTGTGTGAATCAAAATATCCGATTGCTTATTCCGTTAACAAATAAAGAACGGGCAAAGTGTGTACGATAATATAATCCCTGACGTCGTAATGGGTCGCGAAGAATGACGAGTGACGATGACGGACGGACTCGAATCAGCGTCAGCAGCTCCGAATCGATGCTGGCGCCGCCTGGCGGTGAAACTACGAAACTCGAATTGCGGAACTGTCAACGCCGAGAAATTAATTCCTCTAGATACCACAAATTATCCACCACAATTTTCACTAGACTCCGGTAACAAAAAATAACCGATTGATCGATCGCTCATTTTCCTCTTCCACTTCTCTCCAACACTTATCGATATCACAGCTCCCGATATATCGCGGCCATCATTACTCCTTTCTACCTTGCGAGAAACTGAAGGTTTACCATGTCAGAGCAGTAAGTGTTTTCGTTTCTTAGGCGAAAGAATAGCAAAAAGGCGACTCTCGAATTTCAATTCGTACGTTCAATTCACCCGTCAAGAATGATAAGTTAAGCAATCGTTTTCGGAGAGACGCGATCGCGTTAGCGAGAGGCGAGAATGATCAGGTTAGAATCGACGAACGCCTAACAATGACGTTGTTGTGACTCGAGAGGCGAGAAAGCTTTCCCAGATTAGCGTCTCGTTCAAATTCGTTCCCTAAAACATTATCTATCTCTCTTTCCAGTGACGATACCTTGCTAGACGAAGATCTTGGGGACGAGGAATATGATCTGGGTAACGACGAGGAAGAGGCACTTCTAGCTGATGACTATGAAATAGAGAGGGTGAGCATATTGTTTACCCATTATTTTTCATTCGGATGAAAGTATTTATACTCCTTTGATATATTCGGTTATTTCAATCGTGCATTGCTGCCTTAATTTTAAAATACTTTATTTTTTAATTTTTTGTTCATATACATTTTGCTTTTGTTGACCTAATTTATTCAAAAGCAATTGCTGCAGTATATATATATATATATATATATATATATATATATATATATATATATATTTGTTCTCAACAATTGACAACAATAGGAATATCAAAATGATAATTAAAAGTAATGATATTGACATTCCTTTAATATTTTTTTTTACAAAGGTTTCCAATAGACGAAGAAAAGTTAGACTTGATTTTTGTTTAAAATTTTTTATTTTATATAGCAAATCATATTTTTAATGTATATATTTATATTATTACCTGTGTATTAAAAAAAATGTTTAATGCTTTTTATGCATAAACTGAAAAAATTAAAACTGCGTTAATTATGCACAATAATTTGATTAGCGAACTGTTGAATGTGCTAAAAGTACCTAATTCATGTATTTTTGAATTCCAAAGTTTCAAACATATGCGTGATGTATAATTATTATATTAGCCCTAATGTTCATAGATGTATTCATATACATACATAATATTCGTAATATTAAATATTTTTCTGGTTAAAAATTGTGGATATATAATTTACAACATTACATTTATTAAAAATTGTAAATATATATATAATTTACAATTTAGAAAGTAAATATTTTACACATGTAAAAATTCGTGAAATTGAGACTGTTCAACAAGATGCAGCACGAACACTTCTGCTTGACTGCAAATGGTCGTGAAAATTGTTACTGCAATATAAAAGATATATGCTTGATACAGGCATTACGATTTGTATTAATGAACAGCTACAAAATTTTATACAGGTTGAAAAAAATACAGGTAGCTGTTACAACCAAGTGTTCTGATAATAAAACAAAAAGTTATACAAATACAAATAACATTTGCTTACTAGATTGGAAATTAATGCAGACAAAAAATTTGATATTACTATAATTTATCTTATTTTATAATATAATGACGTTTTTTTGTATATTCAACAATTTGAAATGTTGTTTTAAAATGTTTCTCTCTAAAAATGCAAATAATTTGTATAGATAATTTTTTAGACAAGTATTACATTAGAAGATGCTTATTTGATATTATGAGAATGCTACATGTATTTGTTTCACCTACTGCGTATAAATGCGATTGTAATTTTTGTATATTAAGATTAAGCGAGATATCAAAAATGTGGAAAGTGAATAGAAAAAAATATGCAAATCTATGTTTCTAAGTCCATTTAAATAACAATTTGATGACTATATACACAATTTAATAATTTGCAAATTTACCCATCTCTAATTTGTAAATCTTTATGATTATATCTCGCCTCACTTACCAGAAGAGTTTTAAGAATGGTCTAATGTAAGGTGACAAATATAAGAAATATAGATACATTATTATAAATAAAAATTTATTTATTATTAAATATTTTTTTCTGCTGATTTATATAACATTAATATTGTAATGTTTTATGATTTAAAAAATTGTTATTGTTAAAAATAAATTTATAATTTTTTGTATATCTAAAAATAGTAAATAAATTTTGTTAAATATGCATATAAATTTTTATAGAGAAAATTATATAGAGAGAACTTTCTATTATGATGTAAATTCTTATATTAGGCCATTCAAATGTATATTATGAACTTTGTTCAACTTTCAACAATTTAGCGATTGTGTAAAAAGCTAGATACATTTCGGTTTTTTAATACAAAATTGTATATTGCGATTTCTAGTATTAAGTGTTCCCAGATCATCCAACAAATCAAGGTGTAAGAAATAATTCAGTTATATGATGCAATAAGAAATATTCTGATTTCTTTATAACTTGAATTTTTCCATTTAATGTAATCATATTATATATTGATGCTACTTTAAAACTTATTGCAAGTTTTTAAAATTAAGAAGAATATATACATTTTATTTGTATTTGATTAAAGTTTACATTGAACATTATTGTAATTCTTTTGTCTTTAATATGATTATGTTTATATGTGTTTATATAAAATTTGCGCTTAAATTGAAAAAAGTAAACATATTTGACAAATTGTACTTGTAAAATTCTGTTGTATAATTGTATACATATATCGAATTCTATAGACTGAATTATATCATACTATACTATGCAAGTTTAATCTTATACAAGGCCTAAACAAAGCTTTTATTATACAAAAGTGGTACATCGAATGTTACATATTTCATCATCGATTAGTATTTTATCGATATAAGTAACCAGCTGTTACATGTTATCGAAAAGGTATCATATGCACATAGTCACATTTTTCCATCACTGTGTACTCGGACTTGCCATCCTCACTCACATTTGTTTATAAGATCTTTCTGTTTCATATTATTATTACCATTAGAGATAAGAGCATGTTTCCTCCAGTATGTGTTAATATAGTACATTGGTGTAGAAGAAGTAAATCTTTAAAGAAGAAAATTCACTCTAAAAGTTACGCTTATCGTGTGGGGATCAAATATTATCAGGACCAAAATCAGGAATCAGAACTTATACAATATGCGAGTGTACATATCGATAGTTTTTCCACAAACTTTGTTGGAGAGAAAGGAGGATAATTCCATTTGCGCACACTTTAGATACACATTAGTTACAATAATGATACATAGATTATAACTACATTATATGGATAAATATCACGTATTTGCATTACAAATATCTGCCAATTTGATTCCCCGAGCAGCAGAATAGCTATAAGGGAGAAGAGGAAACAGATGATGTACTGGACTTAGGAGTCACGGACGCGCTCGACGACTTAGATGGCGAAGACGAGAATATAGAGTTTAGTAGAGGCAATACTGATAAACATAGCGATAACGATTTCTATAAAGATGGAGAACATCCGATGGAGATACAAACTACGTCGTCGTATTACGAGCAAGACGACGGTGCCCAGCGGTACGCGAATGAGCAGGCATCGCGTCAGTCTGATCAAAACTTGGAGTCCAATAGCGTTAATATTTCTAATAATATTGGCAAGGGCGATCTGCGCGAGAAGCTCCAAAGAAACGTGCAGAAGACTGTTTACGTCGGCAACGGACAAGGAATGGAGGACGACGACTGCGAGGAGGCGAAGGAAAGGCGTAACAGATTTCAAAACGAGCGTACAATGATTTCTCCAAAGATGAACAATGATATCCCGGATACCTTAGAGAATGTCGTCACGTCGGAACCATCCAGAGCGCCGTTCAGAGGAAGAGGACGAGGCCGTGGAGTAAGAGGAAGCAGAGGAGGACGATTTAACGTACAAAATACTGGAAACTTCAATCCAAGGTAACGATAGAATCTTAATAATTAATATGGTAATAGAAAATATATATATACATATATTCTTCAAAACATGTTATGATTTGATAGAGATCCGTACACTTTAAAACAAGTTATGCTGAAAAAATCAAAATATAATATCACCTTTAAAATTATATAATTTTGACCGGTACTGTATTTGTTCCAACTAATAGATATACATTTTAATGAAATGTCTCATTTGCAGATTTGGTGCGCCACGACCAGGTAATTTTGATCAGCCACCTGCTTGTAGACCGCCACTAATAGAGACCAGACCACCGTGTCTCCTTGGTGTACCAAGTAACGTACCAAATCAGCAGATAATGTATCAACAGGCTAATCCACAACAGCCTTTTCAACAGCCCTTCGGCCCGAACGGTCCATTGCAAGGGCCACCGGTGCAATTTGCGGAGAACAGGCCTCAGTTTAGTCCCGGACAATTTCAGGGCCTGATGGGACCGCGTCCGATCGGTAGCCAAAGGCTGCCCGAGTACGGACTTAGGAATCCTCCCTTGGCGGGAGGATCCATGCAAGGACCAGGCTATAATTGTCCGCCTAACCAGCAGCCGCCATATCATCCGTCGAATCATCCACCGAATCATCCGCCGAATCATCCACCGAATCATCCGCCGAATCATCCGCCGATACAACCGCCGTTTCAAAATCCAGGCGGCGTCATGCAGGAAAATCGACCGAGTATGCAGAGTAATCAGGGAGGACCCTTGTTGCAAGGAAATCCGGGAGGAGGAGGAGGAGGAGGATCGCTTCTCGGTAACCCGAACTGCCTGTTACTGCCTGGAAATCAGCCCAGTTTGTTGTTACCCGGAGGAGGAAATCTACCAGTGTCTATAGGCCAGGGATTCCCGCGCCAGCAGCAACCGCTGCCAAGCGCCTCTCAAGGTCCACCTATGCAAAATCTACCGCCGAACGTGCAAATGTCTAGTCAACCACCGCCCTTCGAGAACAGACTGCCGCCGCCGCCGCCACCACCGCCGCAATTTCAAGAACCCCAATTCGAAGGTCGGAATCAGTACGACACAAGAGTTGGTTTTCATCCTTCCGATCAAGTACCCAGTAACCAATTTAATAATACGATGCAACCGGTATCACAACAGTCGGCGCCTAATGTACCACACAGTGTGTCTTTACCTCCAGGCCACAAGATTCTAATCAATCCTCATTTTAGAGGCACCGTTCAACCCGCGAACGATGGTAAGTGCTTTTAAAATAATCATTTATATCGAATGTATTTAGATTATTGATATTTTTGCTAAAAAATTTTTTCTCTAATAATTACATGACAGCTCGACTTGTTTGGGATTCTAATCAACAACAAACTCCAGTTTCTCACGGTGGACAGTTTTCACAACCACCATCGTATCAAAATCAGGGACTCTATAATCAGGCCCAACAAGGTTCATCGCAGTATCATCAAAACTATCAGCAGAATAAAAGTGACGTAAGTAATTGCGTAATACATGAAAGCAAAAAAATAAAAATAATTAAAAATTATCAATATCCGCATTATAGGATCCATACGCATATTTTTCCGATGTGTGGCAAGAAAATAGACCACAGAAGCCTCAGAATAGCCCGAATAAACATTATTCCTCGGATAACAATTATTCCCGAGAGGGAAATTACAGTGATAATAAATATAAATTAGATAGCCAATGGGAGCAAAAGGATAGTTATCCAGAAGTAAATATTATGTTTAATATCAAAAGCATGATGCACTTGTATTAGATCATTAGTTTCAATCGTCTCGTTTTCTCTACATTAGGATTACAGAGGCTCTCAAAATTATCGTGAGAGAGATTTACCGCTACGAGCAAGGAATGATCATACGCAAAGGAGCAGAACGCCACCGAATACGTACCGTAGCGATTCTTACGATCAGGTTCACAATATGAAATTTTCTAGACCGCCGAACATTGCACCCCGTGGACCAAATAGACCGCCGCAAAAAAGGATACCTGAATCTTTGGACAAGGGATCGCGGGAAGTAAGTCCAAAACGCAATAAGCCGTCTAACAGAAATCTTCAAGAAATACGAAGAGTGGATACGACAAATGAACTTGTTGCTGACAAGGTGAATTTCTCATTCTACAAGGAAATTTGCTTCGAAATAATGATAGAATTTAAATACATCGCAAAGTTATGATTTTAGGAGGAAGATAATGATCCGGAGATGCAGGAATACCGCAAGAAAATGGAAGAGCAAAAACGTCTTCGGGAGAGAATATTACGCGAGAAGGAAAACAGGCGTAAGATGGCTGCGATGGAGAAACAAAGTGAAGATATCAAGATGGATTCAAGTACTCCAGGTAAATTGATTTGTTGTCCACACTTGTACAAACACCTCTATGTTTTTCTTATCAACCGAAATATTTTAGTGAACGAAAATACACAACAAGAAATGAAACCTGCGTCAGCATTGATGGGGATTGTAAAGGATGTTAAAACACGCCCTGGTGTTGCTAAAGGACGCGGTCGTCCTACCAATGTACAGAGCACAGAGGTACAACATTAAATGTATCATTATATTATATCTTTCAGTCATGATTGATTTCTCGATGACGAAATGTATAAATTATACAATTGTATAATATATATATATATTTCTGTGCTTGAAATTTTACAACAAATTCCTTCCACATGCATATAATTAAATTATAAATAACAAGGATATATATATGACTCAGTGATAGTATTTCGTAATACAATTTACATAATTGAACTTATGCACAGATACAAAATGTTACATAATTATATGTAAATATACTTAAATGCATATAAAAATTGAATATAGATCAGTATATTTAGACTGAACAAATTTTCTCTTCAGAATCAGCAGTGTTATACTGCATATTTATTAATTATAATAGTAGAAAATATTATTTCTTAAAAATAATATACATTTTATTATTAATTACATATATACATTTTTAAATAAAATATTATTTAATTACACATACAATTTTTTTAAAAGTTATTGTGTACATTTTCCTTATATTCCAATAAAATGTGCTTTTTTAATAAATTGTTTTTTTTTTCTCATTCTTCCTTCAGACTCTATAAACATATTTTAACAAATTTTAAAAAACTAAAAGTTGGCAAACTCTTTAATTAAAGTAAATTGTTTAGGAAATATATAATGTTAGTGTAATTTAGTCCAAGTATGTGTTTTACATTATTATTATTGTAATCAAATAATTAATTAATAGTAGTTATAATAGTAATTATATATAAGTTTTAATAGTAGTTATATATAAATTGATGCAAACGTTTATCTAAAATAATGTATTTTTTGTTATAGGCTGCAGACAGACCATCTAATGTGCGAATTGTTAGAACGATACCAACTATACAAACTACCGATTTGTCAGATACAATCGGTTCGAGAGATAATACCTCCGGATACGCAATTAATCAAGTCAACGATAATGTACAAGTAAGACAAGTGATACAACAACCTGGCACACGAAGAGTCGTCATACAAAAGCCTCTATTAAATGCTCAAAAGGTTATCGCTACCACGATACAGAAAACTGTCTCCAATCTGCAAAAGAATCAGGGACTGCAACAAAAAGTAGTGCCAAATATGCAAGTTGTGCAAACGCAGAAAATCATACAGAATCAGGCTAATACATTACAAAAATCTGGAACTGTTGGACCGAAAACCACGAATATTGGTCAGAGAGTGATGACGCATAAAACACCTGGTAGTCTACAGAAAACTGTAATCAACGATAACGTGAACGTTCACGGTCAAAAAGTCACAAATACGCAACAAAATTCTCAGCGAATCGTGTTACAAAAATCTGCAGTTCAAGTGAAAAAATTACCCGAGATAAAAACGAACACGGTTAAATTAGAGAATTTGGCTGCAAGCACTTCTGAGGCCCAAATCAGACGTATGTGTCAAGCCATCGGAACTATTGAGGTGACTATATTTACATGAGAATATTTCACCTGGCACACTCAGTTTTATTATTTTTATTACGTATATAATTTTTGTTGACATGCTTATTACATTTACTATATACACGTTTCATGTATTTTCTTAACTTAAAAAAAGCAAGACGATTAATTTTTTTGCATGTGCTTTTTATTTCTCGACATGAACTTGGATATATGTGCATGTAAAATAATAAATGTATTATTTCTTATAGAATTAGTTGCAACTAGAAGGTATTACAGCAAAATATTAGAGATTTGTATTTGATATGTATATCTTTGATCTTCTTTAGCTATCAACTTAGATAGCTAATTTTATTCCAATGATTATAGTATTATTAGGAATAATTAGGAATAAGTAATATCTTTATACTTTTATAACGCTTTTTACATATGGTACATGCATATATTATAATGCATTTTGTTTTACGTTTAATTATTAAAATTATAGATTCTATAACAAATGTTAAAATGTTCTAAATACATTACATTTGCATATAATGTAATGATATATATTGACCAAAGATTATTACATGCATATAAATGATCTAAAAATATCTAAAAATATTTTATAATGTTACTTATAATCATTATTTGATACCAAATTGACACATAAATATATTTAGTTTATATAATTTTTCCAACATTATTATTTTTTTCTTATTGAAGAATGTAACTGACAGTGAGTAACTTTAAAAGTGTGATGAAACTTGATGTGTGATGAAACTTTACACTGTAAACTTTACATCGCAATACGAATTTGAAAGATAATTACTGTAATAAAACCAGATCGCAAATTCTGCAAACATTGAAATTGTTAGTGACTTATGAATCTTCCTTATTTTGTTCCTCTCGAGAATGTATGCAGCGCAGACAAATCGTATTAATTTTCTTTCAAAATTATCACATTTTTTATTGCTTGCTTTACACATATATATATATATATATAGACACTTTTAATTTATTTAAATATACTTGACAATCTAATATATCTAACAACATAATCTCTATTCTTCGTGTTATAGAGCATACGTATGGGCGAGGGTAACGCGACCATCGTGTTTAAGACACAATCCGCTGCCATGGTGTTTCACAAGAAATACCAGCGTAAAATGCTAGATCTATCGCTGATTACGGTTCGGCTTGTGCCGCAAAATACTCTCGCCAATAAAGTGGTAACGGCGATCGCGAAGAAATCTTAGAGACGAATCTTGAAATAGATTCTCAGCATATTCTCTACGTTAATTCCATGTAAATCGCGACCTCTCTTTGATTTTTTTTCGTTTCGAGGTCCATCAGATTTATTTAATAAATATAAAAATATGTATCTATATATATATTTTATACACGTATATATATATATACTCCACGATACTACAGTTTGTAAAGCTTAGTGAAGATGTAGTGAAACTTCCACAGAAGATTCCAGTGAAAGAATGTAAACGGTAGTAAGAATTCTCGAATTTTTTTTCAAACAATCATGAGACATTCAGTGTTATTTACGAGAATTTGTCTATGTACATACATATAAGGAACAATTGTATATTTCATATAAAATAATGTATAATGATGTGCATAAAAAATAAACATGACATGCAACAATATTCAAGTATAGAAAAAAAGAATGATTGTACGCAAAGTTTATTATAAGTAGTGATATATAGCGATAATACTTTCTCAAAAAACCATAGTGCTTTTACGAGCAAAAATAAAACTATTCTATTAAAATCAGCTGTATCCAGAAGGGAATATCTCGCGAGTCACAATATATATATATATATATATATAATATAAATGTATATTTAAGTAAGAAAAGAAACACATTATAAAACATCCTATTATATACATCAATAATATATTGTAATCTAGATACTCAATAATAATCTTATAGTACATAAACAATCATATTACAATAAACTGCAGCTCATTTAAAGTATTAGCTCTAATTTTATGTGTTAAATTCATTTTTCCAAATTTATCTTTATAAGACTCTTTTGTAAAGCGGAAAATATAAAAGTGGACATTATAAATAAAAAAACCAATATGTAAATATTTTTTGCTTTTAAAATAACTAAGAAGTAAAATATATAAGGCTTCTTTGCTTTTCTTTAAAGGTTACTAATTAAAAATACAAAGATTAAAACAGGTCTTAAATTTATTAATATATCGAAACTGTCATAAATTTAATTTATATTTAATGAGTAAAATTTTCAATAAAATATCAATTGCTCGTTTTCTTTTTAGTTAAAAAAAAATAGTGTATACATTTTTAAACCGCTCTATTTTTTATCGTATTTGTGCGATATTATACCAAAAATTAATTTTTAATAATAAAAACAGCAAAAAATGTGGAACGCTTCACGATTTTGCGTGTCATCCTTGCGCAGGGGCCATGCTAATCTTCTCTGTATCGTTCCAATTTTAGTATATGTACTGCCGAAGCAAGTACAATAAGATGGGTCAAAGAAGTTCCTTATAAACTGAATGAGTAGTATAAGTGTACCTACGAGAAATTGAAAGTGATATTCGCCGCCTAGTGGTGAAACTATGTACTACAATAGAAGAGCGAAAGAAAACAGCTGATTGACTTTCGTGCTACATGGCGCGAATAAAAATTCGAATATATAATCGTATTATTAAGAATTAGTAGAAGAAAAAAAATAGTACAAAACAATTATAATGAGGACGTAGTTGTGCACTTCAATTTAATTAAGATATATACGCGATTGGAGTTCTACGTTTACGATATAACCTATAATCTTTTGTATTCATACTAATATCATCAGTGCTAATATTTATTATTTAATATTTAATACAATGGTTAAATGCGCGTATTTTTTGTCCTATAAAATGTCATTGGAGTTTTGTCAACCGAGACGTTCGAAATTTTACGTACGAGTATCCGAATGTGGAATCCTACGCGAAAATATACGGATAGGCCGGCTATTATTTTAGGAATCGAAACAAGCTGTGACGATACAGGATGCGGAATCGTGGACACCGCAGGAAAAATATTAGGCGAGGTGATAAACTCGCAGCATCTTACTCACTTAAAGTAATTGCGATTATCATATCTCACGAGCTACATATACTTGAAAGATCAACATGAGTATCATGTGTTTAGTTCACAGTTAAATGAATCATTAATCTATTGATTAAACCTGTATTTAGTTCTTACTAAACAATTTGTTTAGTTATTTAATTATTTATTTAAAATACAAATTTATCTTTGTGTATACAGGTTATTAAAAAAATTATCTACATCATTTCCAAGATAAATGACAATCTAAAAATCTATTTTAACTGTGTTTAATTATATTCTTGTTTTTTCAGATATGGTGGCATAATACCTACAATCGCTGGCAACATGCACAGGCAACGAATCACTGCAGTCTGCGAGGACGCACTGAAATCAGCGAATCTAAGATTAAGAGATATAGATGCTATTGCAACCACAACTAAACCAGGTCTTCCTTTATCACTCGCTGTTGGAAATACCTTTGGCAAATACCTCTCTAGGATCAGTAACAAGCCATATATACCGATACATCATATGGAAGCTCATGCTTTAACTGTACGGATGGAAGAAAGAGTATGTACAATTATAATTGCATATTAAGCATATGTGCTGTACACAGCAAGAGTAATTTATATAATATTTTATAGATAGATTTTCCTTATCTCGTTTTGCTCGTATCAGGTGGCCACAGTTTATTAGTAATTGTTGAAAATGTGAATCAATTTTACACATTAGGTACTACATTGGATAATGCACCTGGTGAAATTTTTGATAAGGTATATTTATAAAACTTGCTATTTATATATAATTATATATACATATGCTAATATACATATATACATATTATTTTATCCGTATTATATTTTATTTCAAGTACAATTTTTTTGATAAATTTGGAATCTCTGTTTCCAAAAGTTGTATGAGCAAAATTTTATAGAAGATATGTAAGACAAAAAGATTTCTAATGTAATTTAATAATGATTTTAGATTGCTCGTAGACTTAAACTTGCGAATATATCAGAATTTTCACACATGAGTGGTGGCCAAGCAATAGAAATGGCAGCGAACAAAGCGACAAATCCGAAAAAATTTGTTTTTGAACCTGCCATGACGGGAAGGAGAAATTGTCAATTTAGTTTTTCGGGTATATCAAACAAAGCATTACGATACATTCTTAAACAAGAAAAGGAATTTGCGATTGATGGGAACACAATAATCCCCGATGTGTATAATCTCTGCGCTGCACTACAAATAGCTGTTGTAAAGCATATGTGTCTCAGAACACAAAGGGCAATGGAATTTATTAATAATTTGAATTTGATATCGCCAGAGAAACGAACTTTGGTATGTTGGTAAGACAATTTACATCAATTTTTTATTCGTTCTATATATTTATTTAAATGCAGGTAGTATCTGGCGGAGTGGCATGCAACAATTTCTTAGCAAAGGCTTTAGAAATTGTTTGCTTGGAAAAGAGTTTTAAATTCGTCAGAACTCCACCCCGATTGTGTAACGACAATGGCGTAATGATAGCATGGAACGGCGTGGAAAGGTGGATAGCGAATGTAGGTGTTATCCGAAATAGGGACGAAATTGAAATGATAGCTGTCGAGAAAAAGGTACCACTTGGGGAAAGTTGGATCGAAAGAGTGCAAGATGCGAATATAAAATGTAAATTAGTAAAATTAAAGGGGCTTTGTGATTAAACATCTGATATGCAATTTCAATTTCTCATTTTAACAAAGACCTTTTATTTTCGAACAATTAATAAATGTGTTTGTTAGAAAAAAATTGGAGGAAGAAAAAATTACTTCACTTTTAAAAGAGATCTTAGCACACTTTTGACGAGTCGGTATTAATAATAGAATCAATTTATTTGTTTTATAAAACATTTATTTTTATAATGTTATACGAATCTATATAACAGTCGGTGTGCGTTCTTCGTTTTGTCGTTTTATCCTATCTATCAGCTGTAAGTCCAAGGAATCGCCATACTGAGCGATATGTTTCTGTTCCTCATACTTATCTAAGATGTTTCGTATCCTCTCTTTAATTGTTTCTATCTCGTTTGTATTGTTCAAAATTAAAGATACGGGTAAAATATCGTCGATATGTATTATTTGCTTAGGTCGCATTTCCTCTGGACATGTAGCCACATAGCCAGATAAATCGTGCAATGCCGGCTTAATTTCTTCGAGGATACTATCAGCATTTTCAGTGTCCATTTTATTGATTATAATCATGGTTGGCATTTTAATAGGTCCGGTTTGTAAAGTTCGATCTCCTTGTTTAATAAAACCACAGTTTCCAAACAAGATCTGTGTGTATGGCTGGATGATAATTGAAAACCTTGTATGTCTACAATAAACAAGAGCAGCTTCGTCCTTTCGAGATGCTTCAAGAATTTATGACCCATTCCGATATTCATATGCGCGCCCTCGATCAAACCTGGTAAGTCCGCAATACTAAGTTGCCTAAGATCTTTATACTTCATGATTCCTAATCTGGGCCTTATAGTAGTAACTGCAACAAATATACAATTACGAAATCTGATATTTGCTTAAATATTAACAAAAAGGCAGATTTCTTTAAGATAAAGTAATGACACTAAATAAATTAGAAGGTATTATACAGAAATGAGATCTTACAGGGATAACTAGCGATTTTAGGTTTAGCTTTTGAAACTGCTGCCAATAATGTGCTCTTGCCGGCATTAGGAAAGCCGACCAGTCCGACGTCGGCGATTAGCTTCAAGTCTAGTTTTATCGTCTGAGATTCTCCCTTCATTGCACAGTAACCTGTTTCCTTACAACCACCTATTCCACCTTTCGCTACCAGTAGTTTTGTGTCTTCCTTGTTTAATTCTCCTAAATTTTCAATAGAAAAAGAAATGAGAAACGACGAACGCACAGAAAATATATGATTGTGATACTTAAAAAAATCTTATTTACCTAATAATATTCCATTCTGATTGTATATCGAAATGCCACATGGGACTGAAATAGTCGTGTCTTGACCAGGTGCACCTATAATTCCCTTGGCCGCACTGTCACTTCCAGAGTCTGCTTTGATCCGTTTGGTCTTCAACTTCTTGACAACGTTTTCTAGAGTCAGCCCATCCTTCGCAACGACGTACACGTTACCTCCTGCGCCTCCGATTCCACCATAACGAGGTAATCCAGAACCACCCGTACCTCCTCTAACATGAAGACGTAGTGTGTCGAGGAAGTTTGAGCGTAGATATTTTCTAGGAAGCTAAGGTACAAAAGTGAAACGTTTCTTTTGAAAATATAACTAAATAATTAAAAAAACCTGGGTTATAATCTTTAGCTTTTATCGGCCGAAGACAGTCAAAGAGACTCTTTCAATCTTTTAATATAACTAAATAATATAAATGTAATAACTTTATATAAGACATAATTATATATAATAACGTTATTAATATTTTAACACTTCCTGTTCAAATATTAATTGTTAATTACGTAGATATTAATTCAAATGTTCCATAATAAGCGTAATTTAACAAAAAAATCTTTACCTTTTTAACACACTCTAAAATTGGTGTCAAAAGTACCATTATAATAAGTGTTATGAGAAATACGTAATTTTCTCAAATTTTGTTTAATTATTTTTTTCCCACGTTTTTATATTTGCGTGTCCTTTGATTTAATTTTATTTATCAATCATATGTCATTTTAGAGAGGTTAAATTATTGTCAGCCATGCCGTATATTTCTACGGCAAATTAACTTATCAACTGAAATTATCGATCGAAATTCGTCGATAAGTTCGCAAGATGGCCAGTAGATGGCACATTAAGTCTTCATTTCGGTCCCACCATTTTTAGTGCAACTTGAGGAAGTGTAAACCGTCTTTTCCGGCAACGTCCTGCTTCGAGATATATTCAGAGAAGAATATATCTTATTCAGACAATCAGACGCGATGGATTTCTTCCCTGGCTGGTCCAAATCTCTCCTAGGAAGCTGAGATCTAGAAGATGGAAACTCTTACAATAATGGATCTTACGAAAGGTGCATTTTGTTATTTTTATTTTATTTCTAAATAATGCGTCCATTTTGAAAAATACGATTTTTCCTTCTTCCTGTTTCATTCTCTTCCTCGCAATGAAATGTTTGTTTTTATGTATTATTGTTATACATCTCTTTAGCATAATTCAAGTTTTGATTTAATATGTTTATAAATATCTTTGTGTATATAAATTTAATTCTTCTAATGAAAAATTTGTGATACACGCGTATGTACATATATATGTATGTGTATAAACAAAGTTGCTAAAGGAATTCATATGTAGCTTTAAGAAACATCTACGTTAAACAGATATATTATAGTTTATTTATCATTTAGCCGCGTGCTCCGGAATGAACCACGTGATGCTGAAATAGACACGAAGGAAGTCACCGCTCACATGTCGCGGCATATATATATTTCATTGACGCAATCATATGATATCTGTGATATACACAAATCGCAATATTTTTGATTTATACCAAAACAGAAATATGGTGTTTCTTAATCAATAGTACAGTATCGATAAAAAAAATATATAAATATAATATAAATTAGAAAATAATATAAAAGAATATAAAAAAGTCCGAGAATATTTAAAGCAATTTCGATAAGGATAAGTATAAAAATGAGAGAGCAAAATAAAAAAATGTCTCTGCAACACACATATGTATGTGAAGTATTAAAAATGATTTTGTTTATATAAGCTACACATAGTATATGCGCCGTTGCCAGTTAAATTAGCTAAAGTTAACCGAAGTAGTTTAACTCTCCGACTCTCATCTCCTTCTACTCTGTGCAGAAAAAAAATATTGACGCGGCCTTTCTCGTCCGAGGTAATGAGCCGACAGTTCTCCAGGAGTCGATGCATATCCTAGGGTCAAGTGATACCAATTACTAGGAGGATATCGCGGCGGATCAATTGGCGGCGTCGCCAAAGAGGCGGGGTAAGAGAATGTCCATCTCTTTCTCTCTCCGTCTCTCTCTCTCTCTCTTCTCGACGGAGGCTCGTCTGAACGGCGAAGAAGATGCACGTACGCGAAGCGTTAAAATTAAATCTAGCCAGAGACCGTCGACTACGACATCCACGACGGCGACGTCGCGGCGAATCGACGCGTCCTCTAGCTCAGTCTCAAGAGCACACCCCGACTGCACGGATGCGTTCCGATTGCCAATCGATCTAGCATCCCACCCCGTCGCGAAACTTCCTCTCATTTCTCTCTTTTCTCGCGAAGAATCTACCGAATCAACCCCGGGTAGTCGCCGCCAATCGCCCGAGGATTCCTCGCGAGACGTCGGATTCGCGCGAACTCGAATCTCACTCGACCGCCTTCACCTGAGATCTTCGCCGAGGTAATCGTCCTTCGTCAAGATCCAAGTTTATGATTATCTCCCAAGCAGAGGATTGCCGCTTGTGTCGTACACTACAAATTTCATTATTTCATATTCATTAAATATTGTGTTTGATATTTATAATCGTAGAGCTTTTCGCTTTTCTCGTTACTTAATAACGCATGATATATATATACATATAAATCTTTGTTTCTTTGCTGAAATTATCTCACACAGCATGGACACTCATACATCTAGATCCAAAGCCGTCGTGTGCAGGATTAGCTGGTAGGACGCTGTGCAGAATTTAAACGCCAATATCATTGTTTGCCGTCCGCATAACTAGATCCGCTCGAGAGAGAATGCTCGACTACGTAATCACCGAAGAACGCATATACTGTAAATTTTCCAATATTCTCTCGTCCGAGGTTGAAATTTCACGAGATTGTTACCGCGTGTCTCTCTTCTCTCGTTAATTATCGCAACTCCATTTATACAAACTTAATATGTTAGAGATAAAAAAATGTCCTTCGTCTTCGTTTTTTTGTTTTTCATACTCTAGAAAATGCAATCATGCATAGGAAAGTGACACAGCGATGAATCCGAAATCGAACGCAAAATCAATCTAGCGAAACGGTCGCCAGATTTTTCGTCCCCTGATCGTTTTTGAATGGTCGTGGAACTAGAAGAACACGCGGGCGCGAGGAGTCTGTGTCATCGGGTTACTAGCCTTGATCATCTGCCAAATACTTGACAGGGAAAGCGTACCGTTGTCGTTGCCACTTGTGCTAATTTTATGTACGACGCAGAAAACTACGAAAATTGACAGTAATGGAACAGAGAACCCTCGTGACAATATCATCAGTTTGTTATTTCTCGAGTATTTTTAATCGCGAGAATTCGAACTTGTTGAAAAATGCATGTTAACATTATAAGCCGCCTAATATGCAGACTTATACATTCGTACAAAGATGCAAATTTATTACTGTAGTTTTAAATTTTTTTATAAATTTACACTCTCCTTTTTTTCTTTTTACATATACACATATAAGACAAAAATTAAATTTAGTAGAGAATTTTTATATATATAAATAAAAAAAATATATGTACACATTATTTATATATATATTCTATATTATATAAAATTATTAAATATTTGATACTGTTTTTTATTCTGAGAAAAAAGAGAAAAGAGAGAATTTAAATTTATGAAAAAATGAAAAATATATGGACGATCTTTTCTAATTGCTAATTCGCATTTCCGATGAAACAGATGGAGCAGATGGAACGAGACGACGAGGATTTTGGCGATGGCTACATCGCAGAGTCGCACCCTCTGAGGCCGACGCATCTCACGATACCTCTCGGAGGCGATTCTCGTGCACCCAGCATCAGCAGCAGCGTCAGCGATCTGAATGTTCCGATTTACACCAGGGAAACTACTATACCGCTCTCAGCGAGAAAGGTAAGGCTTTCATAGCTATATATGTTCATCGAATGAGCGGAGAGTTTATTGCTCTTGCGTGAGATTAAATACACGCTCCTTATAAACAATCGTTATGCGATTTAAATGACGATTAAAAAACTGCGAAATCCATCACGATAAAACATTGAGAATGATGCGATTTCAATTTTATTTAAATGAAAATGTTCAAGTATGAAACGCTCGTAGTATTCGCTCTCAATAGCTAGTGTCTTTCGATCTTTACCAGAATTGAGTTTTATTTATTTATAGCAGAGAAGACAGATACATACAATATTAAAAAATAATATGCATTTCGTAACATATGTGTACATTTGAAAAAAAATTTTTCTGGACAAATTTGCTGAAAAACAAGAATTTTCAAATAATGCACTCAAAATAATTGAAGCAAAAATTGCTTAAGCGATAATTAAAATCCAAGAACACTATTTAATCAGAAAATACGTGTTTATTACATCAATATGTCATAGAAAGGCGCTTGTACTCTTTTAGGCGCCAGACGAGATACATATCTCGGACGGAGCGCCGAACCGAGAATTGGAAAGGAATGTACCTATATATTGAAAAACGTTAGCGGGATAAACATCTTATATTTAGGACGATGTCGAAATCGCGGTTTATTCGAGGCCAGGTGGGCGGACACCTTTCGCGCGCGCGCACATTTCGTTTTCGTGAACGCTGTAAATGCGGTGGAAGACCCGTGTCGGTTTAATCTTGTTGGCCGGATGGCGTCTCTCGTGTACACGAAACACGTGTAACACGTTACACGCGAGTATAGCGCGCGTTACTTTAACGTGTAATCCATTAGCGCGTCGACGATATGTCCGTCTTGCATCAATATTATCGTTAAAAACTCGACATTTCTCTGTCTCATTATTGATCGTCCGCGCTATTTATTCTTTTAGATTATCAGAGGGACATTTTATATCTGTAATTATTTGTTTTAGGAGGGGGAGGAAGAAACAATATTTTATATCTAAACAATATTTTATTATAATTAATAGCGTGAAATGGAAGGAAAGCGTATTTCTTCTTTTCCGTTAAACGAATAAGATCGTAGCTATACTTTATCATCGAGGAAACATTCGTTAAACATTGTCAATTGTTTTAATGGGTGTATAAACACGCGCTCGCGTACATTATGTTCAGGAATTTTTCCGCAGTACAGACTGACGTCGAGATGATTATCACGTTAGATTCTTGGCAAGCATCGCACATAATTCTTTGTTATATATATAAAATAAATCTCTTCTTACATTTTTTCTCTACGCGTTTCTCTTCGGTAACGTAATCATTTCGCGCGACATTATTTAAATCGGAGTAATTTTCGAGGAATTTATCGAGGAATTTTCAACTAGATTTTGTCCAGTTCTGGATCCTCATTGTTGAATGATCTTAATTTTTTTAGCAAATTTAATTTATTAATTACATTAATTGTTATTTTCACTTTCTCGCCCCTTGAAGGAGAAGAGATTGCACGATTGACCTCCAGAAATGAGATCGTAACTTAAGCGTCCACGAATCGTGTCACCAATATTGTTACGATCTCTAACTCATCTTACATCACGGTCGATCCGATTCCAACAATTGCGATCAACAAATAATTTTACCAATATCCCCCATCGTTGCAATCAGTGGCGTAACTATGTAGCATATCGGACACATTCACGACTACTGAAAAATTTGCATCCGACTCTTAACTTTCCCTTTCAAGTAACATTCTCCTGGATTTGCGTTAACATTCCAATTCTCTGTCACGAGTGTAATACAAATAGTATAAAGCAATATAAAAAAATTGCAGTCAACTGTGGATTGTCTCTTCTCCACGTGACAAGTCTATATTCTTTTCTCGTCGTCTTTCTCTCTCTTTATATGATTTTATCCTTTTTATTTCAACCTTTTTTTCTTCTTTTTTCTCTATCATCTTGCTATTATCGAGTTACGCCATTGGATGCAAGAAGACAATAGACGAAGCTAGCCCGCGAATGATGACGCAATATGCGGGGCGTATTGTGTACGCGGCTGTTGTATTCGCGCGCATTTGACCCGAGTTTAATGGAATTCTAAGCATTCGATTAATATATGCCCCCTTGTTGCGTATCGCGAGTAATTAAGCGATGCGTATCGCTCGAAAGATACGACGACATTGAGGCTCGATAAAATTTCCGCGCTAATCGCGCGCGAAGGTCGGATCATTATGCCGTTCGTATACATATATGTGTATATAAAATACGTGTCGGATATGCGTGTACAACTTTGACAGAAATAGTCTTCGCGATATCACGCGATATCACGCTACAATTATTCGCGCCTGCCCTCTGTCCCCTCCTTTTTCCCCTTTATTCTCAACAGGTGGATTCTCGCGATGACGTAAACGAATCGTATCGATCGAGACACACACCGGTTTCCATAGGGACTTGTCTAGATATACGTTTTTTATTGTATAAATGTATGTGAAACTAATATATAATAAAATTATATCATTTTTTTTCTATTTTTTTTAAAGGTCCTGGATCCTCGCCGCGGCTATGTTGGATTCTGACGTCAGAGGCGAGAAAATTCTTGCGTGCCATTTAAAAAAAAATGAAATAACAACAAGTCTTTTTGGCACACTTGTAGAATAGTCTGAAAACTATTTTTTTCCCTCGACAGTCAATCAACAATTGTAAAATGATCCTGATGATCAGACTTTGCATGTGCAAAGACCAGACGGACTGGACTTCATATCGCAGTCCAGTCATTTTATATAGCTGTTGATTAATTATAAAGTGTGTATTTTAAAAGTGTGCTAAAGCCATCCGAAGTAAATGTTTCATTGAAATGTCTTTTTATTTAAAAATGGCACGCAAGAATTTTTAGCGTGCATTTTCTCGCTTCTGACGTCACAATTCCAATGATAGACGAGGAGTCGGGAGCCTTAGATTTTATAGAGATTTCGAGATGATTTTTTCGTTTGAGTACATTAACAATTGCATCAGCTATCGTCGTTCAAGGTGGAGGAACGTAAGGTCGGGAATGATTCATCGAAGAGATTAGAATACACCTTCGTTGTTGAAACTCACGCGACGACGTGAGACGACTCCGTCATCGTGGCATCTTATTGGCCGACCCGGTAGGTGTGTGCGGAGGCGCGTATAATCTGTCCTGTATCTCTTTCCGGCGCGAACGAGAGAGGAATCGTCTTGCCTTATCTGACTGGAAAACTGCGCCGGGACGTCTCACTGCAACTCAACTGACACGAGAGATTATATTAGCCTGTATGCCTCACGCGTGCGCGGGTTCGCCACGTAAAAATAGAAAATTATTACGTGCTCCTCTCGACGAAGTGTAATTTTACGCGGAAATAAAGATAGCCGATCGCATCGGCTCTTATTTTTCCGTAGGCGTAATCTGCGAAAATCTCTTGTGTATTTGCAATATTATCGCAAAGAGTTGGAAAGTGTGCACTTAAAAAATGTAAATTTAGTAGATACATCGATTTTAATTGAATTTTTTTCTCATATTTTCTACGATAATATTAATGTTAGATGTTAAAATTTTGAGCTCTCTATTTATTTTGACGATTTCCTCATCATTTTGGGAAGCTCTTCTTGACGTCTCGAGTTTAAAAAAAAAAATTGCACACGCATATTTTTAATTACGCATTAATGCATTATTTTCATTATTTTATTAATCGATCAATTACTTATCAATTATAGTCGTTTCCGTTTGTTTACATTCATCCAATGTAACAAATTGAAAGTAATAAAGAGATTATTCGATAAGTATATCGAGCATCGACGTCAATGGAGGCGTAAATATAATAAATCGCTAACTGAATTCAATTTTAGTTGTACAGAAAGTGGAGTAGAAAAAAAATAGAAAAACATAATCGATCTTTAAAAAAAATTTGCATTATTTCGAAAAAAATACATATAACACACGTTTAATTTATTAAGCGAAATAATCGTTTTTGAAAATGTCTTTACATCTCGAACTTATTCTTTGAGATAACTCTTGGAATGTCACAATGCATTGCATGCAATCGGTTTATTTGCAATTTTATGCGTGTCACGCGACTATAGGACTTGAGGAAGGGCATGTCATTTATTTTTTTTTCTTGGGAGCGTCACGTCAGCCGCAGCATCCGGAATGATATAAGATGAATGTTCAGTTACATTTTAGTTTAGTTTTAGTCAACGTGCGATGATATCGCATCTGGCCATGTGCCAGCCCTCAACAGACGTATGACGTCACTGGATGCTGGCGCGATCGACGCGAATCTCTTTTTCACGCGGAACGAGAGACATTCATATATGGATATACCTCTCGTTTTTATCCCCTCTATATATTTCCTCTCAAATTGGTAACATGAATAATATCTTGTATCGCGAAATACTTTATATCTTCTTACCGGATCGGCAGCGGAAGAGCCGATCGCTTCCGTATGTTTAATCTGTACTTATCAGCGAATATATATGTATATATTGATAAACCGTGCTTACGTAACTTGATTGTCGCCAATTATTATCAAGATCGATTTTTTTCGGCTCTCAACACGCGAGTTTTCGAAACACTGTTCCATCGCGAAAGAAAAAAACATTTCGTATTACAAAAATTTCTACAAAATTACTCCTTGTTACATAATACACTTCATATAACATATTCTCAAAAAGATGTATCCAAAAGCAATCGTACACAGATGTTCTCGGCCAATTTGAAATTAAGCCAATTTTTAGTACTCGAAGAGATGAGACGGAGGAAAGGAAATGAAAGAAGAAAACGCAATAAATATTTTCCCTCGAGACATTAAAGAGTGTCTTAGTATTCCACACAGAGAGAATTTTCTCTTAGAATTTACCCTGACAAATCATGGTAATAATGAGACAATATGGTTATTGGAAGAATTTTTTATAAGGGTATATTCTCTAATTAATTAATTTAATGATCTTGTTAAAGTTCTCTCTAATTAAATAATTTTATGAGTTTATTTTCTGATTAAT